CTCCTCCAGGTGCCGAAGCTGATTGAGGGTCGTGACTACATTGTGAGGATCATGGCTCAGAACATGTACGGAGTCAGTGAACCTCTGCTGTCTGCAGAGTGCAAAGCTAGAGACATCTTCAGTAAGACACACACACTCTCTCACACACACACACACACACACACACACTTCTCTCTCACACACACACACACACACACACTCACACACACACACACACACACACACACACACACACACACTCTCTCTCTCTCTCTCTCTCTCTCTCACACACACTCTCACACACTCACACACTCTCTCTCTCTCTCTCTCTCTCACACACACTCTCTCTCTCTCTCTCTCACACACTCTCACACACTCACACACTCTCTCTCTCTCTCTCTCTCTCTCTCTCTCTCTCTCTCTCTCTCTCTCACACACACACAGTCTGATGGGGTGCGTTTGTTTTCTCCACAGAGGTTCCTGACGCTCCCAAACAGCCGGCCATCAAGGAAGTTTTCCAGGACTCCGCCCTGATCAGCTGGGAGCCTCCGGCCGACGGAGGGAAGCCCATCTCAGGGTACATCGTGGAGAGGAAGGAGACCAAGGCCAACAGGTACATACACACACACACACACACACACACACACACACACACACACACACACACACACACACACACACACATATATCATATATTCTATAGACTTCTTGCACCATTTTTTATTTGTAGTTTTGTATTTTATTATATATGTTGCATCGTTGGAGGAGCTCAGATCAGAATCATTTCATATCATTATATATGACAATAAAACCTTGAATTTGAACATTTTGAACTCACAAGGCAAGTTTATTTATACAGCACCTTTCAACACGAGGCAATTCAAAGTGCTTTACAAAAATGAAAGACATTCAGAAAATGGCATTTAAAATCAGTCATTAAAAAGAAAAGATAATAAAATAAACATTAAAAGAAAAAATACATGGATAAAAGTTACAGTGCATTAAGATGTGAATAGTTCAATCAAGAGTTATACACACTCAGTATAACATTGATATCAAACCGCATGAAGCCTCCAACTACACCTGCTGTCTGTCTGCAGGTGGGTGCGCTGCAACACTGAGCGCATCTTCCCGAAGGTGGAGTACTGCGTGACGGAGCTGCTGAAGGGCTGCGAGTACGAGTTCAGGGTCAGCGCCGAGAACGTGGTGGGAGCCGGAGACCCAAGCCCCGCCACCAAACCCGTGTTCGCTAAAAACCCCATCGGTAAGCCCCCCCTTCCCGACTCCCTGCTGCAGCATGGTGTTTTATAATGTTTACTCTCAATAACCCCCCTCCTCCTGCCCCCCTGCAGTGAAGCCCAGCCCCCCGCAGAAACTGGAGGTCATCGACTTCACCAAAGAGTCCGTCACTCTGAGCTGGAAAGCCCCCGCAGACTGCGGCCGCGGGAAGATCCTCGGATACCTGCTGGAGTTCCAGAAGACCACCGACAACGAGTGGAGCAAGGTGAGGCCGCTTTTATTGTGAAAAACTCCTGTGTATATGTATGTATGGCTTTTATTGACAAAACACCTTAAAAGGGTTAAATGAATGGTCTCTGTTGAATGAATGAAATGAAATGCTGTTTTGACTTCCACAGGTGAACCAGACCCCAGACTCGTGTCAGGAGACGCGCTTCAAGGTGATCGATCTGGAGGACGGCGTTCGCTACTTCTTCAGGGCGATGGCAGTGAACGCCGCCGGAGAGTCAGACCCCGCCGATCTGAGCGAACCGATCCAAGTGCAGGACAGACTGGGTGAGGACTGGTTACCATCAACTGAAACACATCATTGAGGGTGGATAAATGCATCAGTGAGAGTTAACGAAAATTAGAGAGTGGAGAAATACATCCTTAATTCTGCGATATATGTTGTGATATAAAAAAATTATTATATACATTACTTTTTTAATGTTTAATAGAATAAGAACTTTTTATAAAAAATAACATACTTTGAAATGAGATACTGTGGAATAAAATACTGCTTATTTGTATAAATAATACTGCGACTTCAGGACTTTAAGATGCTTTGTGTGTATTGTGTCTGAGCTGTTCAATAACGAACTGTTCCTTACTTAAAGTGCATGAACATTAAACCTGTAATCCCCCTCCCCCCACAGAGGCCCCAGAGCTCATCCTGGACGCCGCGATGACCCGCGAGGTGAAGGCACTCGCCGGCACCCACATCGTTCTGATGGCGACCATTACGGGCGTCCCCTTCCCCTCCGTCACCTGGCAGAAGAACGAGGGTGAGGTGCCAACCCGCATCGACATCGACACCAACCAGACCGGCACCAAGCTGGAGATGAGGTTCTGTCACCGCGGAGACTGCGGCGACTACACGCTGACCGTGGAGAACGCGGCCGGGTCCAAGACCGTCACCTGCACCGTGCTCGTGTTCGGTGAGGAAACACACTTCAGATTTAACACGAGAGAGCGAGAGAACTTTTACCCTTGAAGCATTTACCTAAACATTTTAGACATAAAAACTTTTCCCTGAAAAAACTCTAACCATTTTCAATCTAACACTAATAAATTCTTTACCTTTAAAGCTTTTACCTTGTATGCTTTCAGCTGTTGAAACTTTAAATGTAAGACCTATACTCTTGAAGCGTTTCTCTACATCGTAAACATTTCCCTGTAAAACTCTACCCTCTAATGAACCCTAACATGATTCTGCCGCTGCTCGTGTTTCCAGATAAACCCGGTCCCATCCAACACCTTCGGGTGTCGGACGTGCGCAGCGACTCGGCCTACCTGTCCTGGAAAGACCCCGAGGATAACGGCGGCGTCCGCATCACTAACTTCGTGGTGGAGAAGAAGGACGCGGCGGCCACCCAGTGGGTCCCGCTGTGCTCCACCTCCAAGAAGCGCAGCATGATGCTGAAGCACCTGATGGAGGGAACCTCCTACAACTTCCGCGTGGCAGCCGAGAACCAGTACGGCCGAAGCGAATACACGGAGACCAGTAAGGCCGTCAAGGCCATGAACCCGCTCTGTGAGTAATGGCAGAAAGATTTTTATATTAAGATATATGTTTTTTACATTTAGATATACTTTTTGTATAGATTTAGATTCATACTCCTAAAATGGAAAATGCTAATTAGATATCCTCATACTGTCTTGAATTAGTAAAAACAAAAATAATTGACATATGTAGTTGTAGTTTTGGTATATAAAATTAACACTGTTGCTAAAACTCACCAGTCTAAACCTGAATGTCTTTCCCTCCAGTTCCCCCCGGTCCTCCCAAAGACCTGCACCACGACGACGTGGACAAGACAGAGGTGTGGTTGGTCTGGAACTGGCCTGACCGCAACGGAGGAAGTGACATCACCGGCTTCCTGGTGGAGTACCAGGAGGAGGGAGAGAGGGAGTGGGACGAGTGGAAGACGGTGAGCATCCCAGAGAGTCATGTGACCGGCCTGGAGGAGGGCAAGACCTACCGCTTCAGAGTCCGGGCCGAGAACGCCATCGGACTCAGCAGACCAGACACCACCTTGCCCATCCTGTGCCAGGAGAAACTGGGTGAGTTCAGCACTCTGTCATGTCTAAACGAGCATTCTTTAACGAAAACCTCCGTTTACTTGAGCAAAAGTTAGTTTGTCCCGGTTTAAGTTACCTAAACGCAATTGGTAATTTTAGGGGTGAAGTATTCCTTTAATAATGGGGCTCAAAGAAATGTCATTGTTTCACATCTATTTATTAAACTGTAGGCCCGTCAACAGGGATGCTCAGTGTTTTTCCATCGAGTGTTAATATATTGGGTAACCTCCTCTGTCTGTTTGTCCACAGTTGCTCCCATCCTGGAGGTTGACGTTAAGCTCACTGAAGGCATCATCGTGAAGGCCGGCACCACCATCAGGCTGCCCGCCATCATGAGAGGAATTCCTGTCCCCATTGCCAAGTGGATGGTGGAGGGAGAGGAGATCACCAACGAGGGCAACGTCAAGATCGATACCGACAACTTCTCCACCGTGCTCAGCATCAACGACTGCACCAGGAGCCACACCGGCTCCTACCTGCTCTCCGTGAGCAACCCAGCCGGAACCAAGTCCGCCGCCCTGAGCGTCACGGTGCTGGATGTTCCCGCCGCTCCCATCGGACCCGTCAACATCCTGGAGGTCACTCCAGATTCTATGATGATTGAATGGCGTCCTCCCAAGGATGACGGTGGCAGTGCTGTCACCAACTACATCGTGGAGAAGAGGGAGTCCAACAAGGAGACCTGGGGAGGGGTGAGCTCCGGCAGCCTCTCTACCAAAGTCAACATCAACCGCCTCCAGAAGGGAGTGGAGTACGTGGTCCGCATTCGTGCCCAGAACAAAATGGGCGTTGGTGCTGCTCTGGAGAGCAAGCCCACTGTGGCCGAGCACACCTTCCTTCCTCCCAGCCCGCCAGGTACACCACATGCCACTGATGTCGCAGAGGACTCTGTCACAGTGGGCTGGACCATGCCCCTGTCCGACGGAGGCAGCCAGATCTCCGGATACCTGATCGAGCGCAGACACAAGGGAGGAAAGTGGATCCGTGTGAACAGGACTCCCTGCAAAGACATGAAGTACACAGTCCTTGGTCTGTTTGAAGGCAACGAGTATGAGTTCAGAGTGTTTGCTGAGAATATCGCCGGCTACAGCAGCCCCTCTCCCACCTCTGAACTCTGCAAGCCCTGCAGACCCATCACGGCCCCCGGCCCCCCTGTCAACCCCAAAGTTAAAGACTACAGCAAGGACACTGCCTACCTGGTGTGGACCAAACCCAACAAAGACGGAGGCAGTCCCATCATGGGCTACACCGTGGAAATGAAGAAGGCTGACACTGAGGATTGGCAAAAGGTGAACCTGGACGACTTCATCAAGCATTCCGCTTACACTGTGAAGGGTCTGGAGGAGGGAGCGACGTACAACTTCAGGATCTTCGCCTCCAACATGATCGGAGATGGCGAGCCCAAAGAGATCCCGAAGTCCGTCACCGCTCAGGACATCCTGATCCCTCCAGAGATCGAGATGGACCTCTCCTGCCGCGAGCGCCTCACTGTGCGCATCGGACACAACATCAACATGATGGGCTACATCAAGGCCCGCCCTGAGGCTGAGGTGCTTTGGTCGAAGGAGGAGGTGGTTCTGGAGAACAGCAAACGGGTCACCATCACTCAGAACTTCCCTCTGGTCCACCTGAAGATCAAGGAGGCCACAAGAGCAGACCATGGTAAATACGTCCTAAAGGCTTCCAATGAAGGAGGCGAGGCTTCCTGCACCATCACAGTCAATGTGCTGGACAGACCCAGCCACTGCCAGAACCTGCACGTGACCTACGCCACCAAGGATTCCTGCATGCTGAACTGGGAGACGCCTGAAGACAACGGTGGATCTGAAATCACCAACTATGTGGTGGAGTGCCGTGAGCCCAGCACCAGCATGTGGTCCATGATCACATCCCTCTGCACCAACCGCAAGATCAAGGTCAAGCTGATGGACGGCAAAGAGTACCTGTTCCGCGTCAGCGCCGTGAACAAGATGGGCGCCGGTCCCACAACGGAGACCAAGACCCCTCTGCTGGCCATCGACCCTATCGAGAATCCCGGAGAGCCTGAGAACTTCAGAGCCACGGACATCGGTAAGAACTACGTCTATCTGAGATGGAGGAAGCCCGACTTTGATGGCGGAAGCCCCAACATTTCCTACAACCTGGAGTGCAAATCCAAGGATGCTGAGAACTGGGAGAAACTCAACACCACCACCCTCACTGACACCTTCTTCCTGGCTGACACGTGCAAAGAGAACCAGACCTACACCTTCAGGTAGGTTACTTACTGCATCCTTACTGTGGAGGATATCATAAGGCAAATCAGTCAGATTTGACCCGAACACGACAGGAGGGTTGAAAGAACAGACTGTAGGTTTTGCAGGATGGCTGTGAAAAGTCTGTTACCCTACCTAGTGAACATTACTTACTAATACTTCTTATCATTTGTCTCTCAGGGTGCAGACCATCAATGAAGGAGGTGAAAGTGCTTGGGTGAAACTCGCTGATATTCTGGTAAAGGAGGAGATCCTGAAGCCCGTCATCGACCTGAAGTTGGCCGGTGTTCTGACGGTGAAGGTCGGAGATTCTGTGAGGATAGAGGCCGGCCTGAGAGGAAAACCTGCGCCGGAGGTCCAATGGATCAAAGAAAAGGCCGTCGGGGACAACCCCAGAATCAGCTACGAGACCGGACCTGACTATTCCAAGTTCCTTCTCACCAAGTCCAGACGCACGGACACCGGAAAGTTCATCATCACCGCCACCAACGTGGCCGGCACCTTCACGGCGTACGCTAACATCAACGTCCTAGACGTCCCGGGCCCAGTGAGGAACCTCAGGGTCACCGGCATCGGGGCCGACAAGTGCAGAGTGGTGTGGGACCCTCCGGAGGACGAGGGAGGCTGCGAGGTGGACAGCTACATCCTGGAGAAATGCGAGACCAGGAGGATGGTTTGGTCCACGTACTCCGCCTCGGTGGTCACACCATACTGCAACGTGATCCGTCTAGTGGAGGGTAACGAGTACATATTTAGAGTGAAGGCAGAGAACAAGATGGGCACTGGCCCCGCCATGGAGAGCAAGCCTGTCACCGTCAAGACTCAGTTCAACAAACCTGGGCCCCCAGAAGCCCCCGACGTCACCAAGGTACGCAAACACTACCTTTTTCTATAATTAGCTACATTTTATCCTGGTTTCTGCTTCCACAGTATTAGGTGGACGCCAGTTATTATTATTCTATAAATTTAAGATAACTATTTGGACAGCGTTTTCATTACTTTAGCTAACTATTTGTACTGCTGTTACTCACACTCTCCACACCTCCGTGATCCAGGTCAGTAAAGAAGAGATGACCGTTGTCTGGGCTCCCCCCGAGAACGACGGAGGAAAGTCCATCACCGGCTACATCCTGGAGAGGAAGGAGAAGAGAGCCGTCCGCTGGGTGCCGTGCACCAAGAGCCCCATCTCTGAGAGACGCATGAAGCTCACCAACCTGATCCCCAACCACGAGTACCAGTTCAGGGTGAAGGCCGAGAACGAGGTGGGCCTGGGAGAACCCAGCAAGGCCTGCAGACCCGTCGGAGCCAAAGATCCCATCGGTAAGTCTGTGTTTTTTTTTTAGATGAATCAAAGACTCAAAGGCTTTATCATCATATGCATCGTAGCTATAGTGTAGATATAGCTATGCAAATCTGTGTTTCTGTGTTTTCCTGCAGAGCCCCCTGGTCCCCCTGCTTTCCTGAAGGTGGGTGACAGCACAAAGAACTCCATCACCCTGACCTGGTCCAAACCAGTGTACGACGGTGGTGCTCCCATCATCAACTACAGCCTGGACCTCAGGCTGAAGACCGATGTGGACCCCGAGAACCCCTCGGTGGGCTGGAAGAGGATCGACACCAACGGCCCGCTGGTGCTCACAGAGTTCACCATCGGACAGCTGGACGAGAAGCTAGAGTACGACTTCAAGGTGTCCGCCCAGAACCAGATGGGCTGGGGACGCCACGCCTACCTTAAGGAATCCGTGTCCCCCAAGGAGATCATTGGTAAGAACTGACATTCAATACAATAAAAGTCTGTTTCCAGCTCATAGAGTCCTGTTGTGAACCGGGAAATGTTGAGGACTCCAAATTGTCAAAATTAATAGTAGGGTCCCCAGCACATAGAAACTGCCGGATGCTAACCTGCATGTTGGGTACTTTGCACAATTAGCATTCATTAGCATATGCAGACAATAGTTAAGGGTTAACTCCGGTTTGGACAGTTTTTGAGTTGTTTCTGGGGTTATTGAGGACGCTGAATCAATTTCTGAAATGTTCAGCATCAGAAACTGCAGTTTTAACCAGAAAGTGGCCATATTTGTACTCTCTGTGTGCTGATGTTGATGATTTTTTGGTCGATTTAACTCAATATAGTTAACTGTATCACTGCAGATAGCCTTATTTGGGCATTCTCAGTGAAACTGGGAAACAAAGCATGGTGTTTTTGCAACTTCAGCATAGAGCACTTTGATGTTTCAGGGGTAGACATTAAGGGAAACACTGTCTGTTTATGATCTCACATCCTGCTAACCTCTCTCCTGTGTTTCCTGCTGCAGAGGCTCCAGAGATCGACCTGGATGCCAGTCTGAGGAAGGGTCTGTCTGTGAGGGCCGGCTGCCCCATCAGGCTCTTCGCCGTCGTCAGAGGACGACCCTCACCTAAGGTCACGTGGAAACGCCTCGGCGTGGACAACGTGATCCGCCGTGGACACGTGGACCAGGTGGACAGCATGTCCTTCCTCGTCATCCCCGAAAGCACCAGAGAGGATTCTGGGAGATACTCGCTGACTCTGTCCAACTCGGCCGGAGAGAAGGCCGTGTACGTCCGCGTCAAAGTCCTCGGTGAGAAATATAACAACACATTTATCCACAACCAACATGTTACTTTATCATGCTGTAACACCCATATTTAGTTTGATTGCTGTATTTATGAAACTGTCCCACAATGTTCTAATATTTTATAGTATATGCATTTAGTAAACACCAAGGAAAATGGACGTCTTCATCTGAACTTATTTTTAGGAATATACAAATGTAATAATAACGTCCAAAAAATGCGGGAACCTTTAAAGGCTGTGTTATTACATAATGAGATTTGTGTACATTCCTTTAAAAGGAAATCTGTCTGATCGAAGCATCTTTCAATCCCCCCTCGCAGACACCCCCGGCCCTGTTGGCGGCCTGGAGGCAACGAACATCACGAAGACAAGCGCGCAGCTGTCATGGCTGCCGCCCGATAACGACGGCGGAAGCCAGATCCTGAACTACATCGTGGAGAAGCGCGAGGTGGACCGGAAGACGTGGAACAAGTGCATCGAGGACCTGAGGAAGACCAGCTTCAAGGTGTCCAACATGATGCCCGGCATCGAGTACTACTTCAGAGTCACCGCCTGCAACCAGTACGGCATCGGAGTCCCGCAGGACTCGCCCAAATCCTACCTGGCCGTCGACCCCATCAGTGAGTAGAAAGCCTTCTGAGACGTACAGGAAAATAAGACTTCAATGATCATAATCCTTTCTGTGAAAGAGAAGACTTTAAACTAATGTGTAGATATGTATATCTATACGTCGTACATATAGTGAACGTTTTCTAGTTTATTTTTAAATGTTTGCCCCCAGGTAAACGTAAAAGCTGCTGTGTTCCTCTCCCTCTGTGTTCTTTCCTTTATCTTACCTAACCTCCGCACTGCCCTCCCCCCCAGGTGAGCCAGACCCCCCGAAGAAGATGGACGTGTTGGACATCACGAAGAACAGCGCCACGCTGGGCTGGCTGAAGCCGCTCAGAGACGGCGGGGCCAAGATCAACGGCTACGTGGTGGACTACCAGGAGGAGGGCGCCGCAGAGGACAAGTGGACGCCGTACTCCGTGGTGAAAGACATGAGCATTGTGGTGGTGGGCCTGAAGGAGAACACCAAGTACAAGTTCAGGGTCGCTGCCAGGAACTCAGTGGGGGTCAGTCTGGCCCGCGAGGCCGAAGGGATCTTCGAGGTCAAAGAGCAGCTCAGTGAGTACAACACACACCTCAGACTGTAGAGAAACCTGGATATGAGACAGCATTATAAGTCCAGAAGCCTGAAATACGTTAGCTTTATGAGTCTTAAAGACCCCGAGATGAGTCAGCAATATGAGTCTTAAAGACCCCGAGATGAGTCAGCAATATGAGTCTTAAAGACCCCGAGATGAGTCAGCAATATGAGTCTTAAAGACCCCGAGATGAGTCAGCAATATGAGTCTTAAAGACCCCAATGTGAGTCAGCAATATGAGTCCTCAAACCTTTAATGAATCAACATTATGCATCTTAAACCCGTAAAATAAGTGGGTATTTTTTGTCCTGAAACCTCGAAATGAGTCAGCAATATGAGTCTTAAAGACCCGAGATGAGTCAGCAATATGAGTCTTAAAGACCCCGAGATGAGTCAGCAATATGAGTCTTAAAGACCCCGAGATGAGTCAGCAATATGAGTCTTAAAGACCCCGAGATGAGTCAGCAATATGAGTCTTAAAGACCCGAGATGAGTCAGCAATATGAGTCTTAAAGACCCCGAGATGAGTCAGCAATATGAGTCCTCAAACCCTGACATGAGTCGGCAGTGTGAGTCCTAATACTTAATACAAGAGTTAGCATTTTAGCACTTCCTGTTCCCTCTTCTCTCATTGTCTCATATGCTGATGAAAATAAAGCTTCTTATTGAACATATTCAGTCATATATTTAGTTTTCTCGAGGGACCTTGGAGTAACTGTTGTCCTTTCTCTCCCTGCAGTGGCTCCGAAGGTGATGACTCCGGACATCGTGTCGGTGCGAGCCGGATCTAAGATGGTTCTGGAGGCCATCGTGGCCGGGAAGCCCGCTCCCTTCTGTAAGTGGAAGCAGGGCAACGAGGACGTGCTGACCTCCGACCGCCTGTCCGTGGTGAAGACGCTCACCAGCTGCACCCTCATCACCAAGAACGTGAAGCGGGAGGACAGCGGCTACTACAGCCTGTCCGCAGAGAACAGCAGCGGCAGGGTCAACCAGATCATCAAGGTCACCGTCATGGGTCAGTAACACTATTCCTAATATGGGAATATTCAGGAATAACACACTGTATCAAAGGGAAAGCAGGACTGCTTCAAAAAGGAGGTATATTTGAGAACATTCAGAAAAAAATAATGAAAAAATCTGATTTTTCCAAAAATCGAAATTTTGGAAGAAAAAATACAGAATTTCAAGAAAAATCTAAATGTTGAGAAAAAGTTAAAAAAAAACAAGTCAATTTCTTTTTATAAAAAGTCAAAAGAAATTGTTGAAAAACTCCGAAACTTTGAAAAAAAAATCTGAATTTGGAGAAAAAGTTAAAACTCAACATTTTGAGAATATTGAGAAAAAAGTCAATATTTTTGAAAAAGTCTAAATGTTTATAAAAAGTCATATTCATGCAAAAAAGTCATTTGGGAAAAGTCAGAATGTTTTTGAAAAATAATCATTTTGAGAAAAATCTAAATATTGAGAAAAAAGTTACATTTATGAGAAAAAGTCTTTTTTTTAAAGAAAAAGTCAGTTTTAAGAAACTTCAACATAGAAAAAAATAAAATCAAAATTCTTAGAAAAAACGTAAACATTTTGAGATTATTGAGGAAAAGTTGGCGACGATTAAAAAAATCGGCAAAAAGTGAGAATGTATTTCAGGTTAAAGTCATTCATAACTCGTACATTACCGCTTCTCTCTGTCCCTGCAGATATCCCCGGGCCCCCCGAGGCCCCCCTGGAGGTGACGGAGGTGGATGTGGACGGATGCACCCTGCTTTGGGGGTCGCCCCAGGAGGACGGAGGCAGCAACATCACCAACTACATCGTGGAGAAGTGTGACGTGAGCCAGGGAGACTGGACCATGCTCACCTCCTCCTGCACCAAGACCAGCTTCAAGGTGCCCAAGCTGTGTCTGGGCAAAGAGTACGGCTTCAGGGTCCGCGCAGAGAACAGGTTCGGCGTCTCAGCGCCCATCTACTCCGAGAAGATGATCGCCAGGTGTCCGTTCGGTGAGTCCGGGACGATGTTTATAAAGCTTTGTAGAGAACTGCAGGAATAACGAGTCAGCATTACGAGTCTTAAAGCAAAACATATTTCAGCATTATCAGTCCTAAAACCCAGTCTGCATTATGAACTGTAAAACTGTGATGTCAGCATGTATGTCCTGAAACTCAGAAATGAGTCAGAATTCATTTAAAATGGGCAGTTTTACAGCTCTAACTGTTAACCCCCCCCCCCCAACAGACCCCCCCAGCGAGCCCCTGAATCTGCAGATCAACAGGATCAACAAGGACTACGTCATCCTGTCCTGGGAGCGCCCCAGCAGCGATGGAGGCTCCCCTCTGACAGGGTTCGTCATCGAGAAGAAGGAGCGTAACAGCCTGCTGTGGATGAGGGCCAACGAGTCGTTGGTGAAGGCCACGCAGTACACGTGCACCGGGCTGATGGAGGGCGTGGAGTACATCTTCAGGGTGGCCGCGCTCAACTTGGCCGGACAGGGGAAACCCTGCAAGCAGACCGACATCATCATCGCCAGGACCGCCATCGGTACGTGACACTCACACTTCATCTTTCTTTCAAGTTAGAGAACCAGAGGAGCATTCACCGGCATTGTTTCAATACACAAGACACTACTTGTTTGGTTTAGATATGACTCTACCACTTCCTTCAAAGAGTAGTACCAGGTAGAATCTCTGGGCCAGAGACATTTCCACACATTCAAATGTGGAGACTAGAGTTGGGGTTTCTGTGTCAGTGGAAGGAGTAAGAAAATAAAACACTATTGAAAGGCCAGTTTTTCTTCACTGTTCGGACTAACTAACCGAGTGTCCCCCCCCACACAGACCCCCCCGGTAAGCCCGAGGTGATGGACGTGACGAAGCACTCGGTGTCTCTGGTGTGGAGCCGCCCGACGAACGACGGCGGCAGCAAGCTGATCGGATACTACATGGAGTACATGAAGCTGCCGGAGGAGAAGTGGACGCGCTGCAACGCCAACTGCATGAACATCCAATCAGAGAGCTACACGGTGAGCGGGCTGGACGAGGGCCAGCAGTACCAGTTCAGGGTTATCGCCAGGACCGCCATCAACACCAGCCTGCCCTCCGAGCTGTCGGACAAGATCCCCGTCATCGCAGAGCACGGTACGAACTCTACCAACTATCATTCATCAACACTTATCCTCAAAGGGAAGACCGGCCCCTTACGGGAAACTGATTGATCAGAGCACGGTACGAACTCTGAGCATTCAGTTTTCGATTATATGAATTATTATTATCATATTAACAGTTTTCCTTAATGGAAAGACCGGCCCCTTTCTCGTCATAAGCTTCCTTAAAGCATAAAGTTACTACATGGGAGGTTTTATTTTGAAAAAAAATCTCTTCCTAAGTTTTTAGTAAGTATGCAATTACTCTATGGTGCTTTTGTTTTGAAAAACAAGCCTGGCCTTCGCTTCCTGTAAGGATAAAGTGATTTTTTTTAATGTTTTTTATTTTAATTGAAATGCCTCATGCTTCACATCTTACTTCAGGAAAACACAGACTCTTCCTGTGCTCCCCGTACAGTTACTCTATGGGGCTTTTATTTTTGAAAAATCAGACTTCGGAAAGATTTTGATTGTGTATTATGTATTATTGCTACTTTTGCTTAAGTTAAAAGTCTGAGTACTTAATAAATAACCATTCCCCCTTATCTCGGTGCAGTCTCCCCCCGCGTGGACCTGGGTCTGGATATGAAGAACCTGATCGTGGTGAAGGCCGGAGAGAACGTGTCCATGGATGCTGAGGTGTTCGGCAAACCAATGCCCAAAGTGACCTGGATGAAGGACAGCGCTGTGGTGCACGTGGAGGGCATGAAGCTGAGCCAGAAGAAGCACCACTACATGCTGGACCTGTTTTGCGTCACCAGGAAAGAGTCCGGTGACTACAGCATCCACGCAGAGAACCCCAGCGGGTCCAAGTACGCCACCATCAAGGTCAAGGTGCTCGGTGAGTCAAGAGGTCTTCAGAGGGGTCTTTTAGCAGGATAAGTGTGGAATAGATCAGATTTGAGCTCCTTGTCATTGCTAGTACTAAAACAACGAAATGCAGTTAGCATCTAACCGTATTCAGTAGGTAAGTCGCTTTGGCTAATAGCGTCTAACAAGTGACATGTAATGTAATGTAACCAGAGAATGCAAAACAGTAAGAGAAAAGTCAGTCTCTGGGTATAGGATACGATAGGATAATACTTTAATGGTCAGATCAAGTCTGAAATGTGTTGTTCAGGGTTCAGACAAGAGATGGCTGAGGGTTGAGAGTTTCCTGTAGCGCCTCCTAGAGGATAGGAGATGTGTGGTAGGGAATATGTGAGAGATGGGGTCTTTGAGCAGTATTAGTGTTGACCTGTAGCGCCTCCCAGAGGAGAGCAGAGGGAATAATGTGAGAGATTTAACAGGATTAACGAGGCTCCTCCCCCTCCTGCAGATAAATCCAGCCGCCCCGCCAGTTGGACATTTTTGAAAAGTCAAAATGTTTATAAAAGTCAGAATTTAACAAAAGTCAGCATTTTGAGAAAAATTCAAAAATGTTAAGAGAAAAGTCAGAATTTTGATAAAAGTCAGAATGTATTTCAGGTTAAAGTCATTCATGACTCCCGTCATGGTGAAGAATCCCTACGGGACAGTCAGAGCACCGGGTCTACTTCAGCAACAGAGAAATGTGTGCTTTTTTCAACAACAACAAAATATTGTGAAAAAGTCGGAATTTGAGAAAAAGTCAGAATTTGAGAAAAATCTGATTGTTTGGGAATTCTTTTTAGTTTTTAGGAAAAGTCTGAATATTTGAAATTTTGAAAAAGAAGTCAACATTTTGAGAAAAAGGATTAACAAAGCTCCTCTCCCCCTGCAGATAAACCCGGCCCCCCCGCCTCGGTGAAGATCGCCAAGGTGTTCTGTGACCGTGTGAAGCTGCGCTGGGAACCCCCCATCGCTGACGGAGGATCAGAGATCACAAACTACATCATCGAGAAGAGAGAGACCAGCAGAGCCAACTGGGCTCTGGTGAGCTCCAACATCCACGGACACATCACGGACTCTCTGGTGGAGAAACTCATCGAGGGCCACGAGTACGAGTTCAGGGTCAGCGCGGAGAACCAGTACGGGGTGGGAGACGCCATCATGACCGACCCCGTCATGGTGAAGAACCCCTACGGTAAGGACCGGGTCTACTTCAGGAACAGAGACATTTGTGCTTTTATCAACAAAAACAAAATTGAGAAAAAAGTCAGAATCTGAGAAAGGTCAACATTTTGAGAAAAGTCAGAATGTATTTCAGGTGAAAGTCAACCCCCCGTCATGGTGAAGAACCCCTATGGTAGTGTTTCAGGAACAGAGAAATAAGTGCTTTTATCAACAACAAAGACATTTGAGAAAAAAGTCTGAATTTGAGAAAAGAATATATTTCTTTTAGAAAAAGTCAGAATTGTTTAAACGGTGGTGCAGATCAGTGAGTGCAGTGCGGGTCAGACTGACAGTATTAACCTTATTGAGCATATTTCATCAATATTTGTTGTTTATATAAATATATGAAGTATATGAGTCCCCGACCAGACCTAAATATGGAGTGTGGACTGCTACTTGGAGAGGTCCCAGTTCACCTCCTGCCCTGCCGTGGGGCCCTTGAGCAAGGCACCGGACAACCCCCTTCCCCCTCACTCCCATTGCTCCCCGGGCGCTGTACCATAGCTGCCCACTGCTCCTGGTGCTAGACTCCTGGTTCTAGACTCCTGGTGCTAGACTCCTGGTTCTAGACTCCTGGTGCTAGACTCCTTGTGCCAGACTCCTGGTACTAGACTCCAGGTACTAGACTCCTGGTACTAGACTCCTGGTGCTAGACTCCTGGTGCTAGACTCCTGGTACTAGTCTCCTGGCTCTAGCCTCCTGGTGCTAGACTCCTGGTACTAGTCTCCTGGCTCTAGACTCCAGGTGCTAGACTCCTGGTACTAGTCTCCTGGCTCTAGACTCCTGGTACTAGACTCCTGGTACTAGACTCCTGGTGCTAGACTCCTGGTGCTAGACTCCTGGTACTAGTCTCCTGGCTCTAGACTCCTGGTGCTAGACTCCTGGTGCTAGACTCCTGGTACTAGTCTCCTGGTGCTAGACTCCTGGCGCTAGACTCCAGGTGCTAGACTCCTGGTACTAGTCTCCTGGCTCTAGACTCCTGGTGCTAGACTCCTGGTACTAGTCTCCTGGCTCTAGACTCCTGGTGCTAGACTCCTGGTGCTAGACTCCTGGTGCTACACTCCAGGTGCTAGACTCCTGGTACTAGTCTCCTGGCTCTAGACTCCTGGCGCTAGACTCCTGGTGCGAGACTCCTGGTATTAGTCTCCTGGCGCTAGACTCCTGGTGCTAGACTCCAGGTGCTAGACTCCAGGTGCTAGACTCCCGGCACTAGTCTCCTGGTGCTAGACTCCTGGCGCTAGGCTCCTGGCGCTAGACTCCTGGCGCTAGTCTCCTGGCTCTAGACTCCTGGCGCTAGACTCCTGGTGCTAGACTCCTGGTACTAGTCTCCTGGCTCTAGACTCCTGGCGCTAGTCTCCTGGCGCTAGCCTCCTGGCGCTAGACTCCTGGTACTAGTCTCCTGGCTCTAGAATCCTGGTACTAGACTCCTGGTGCTAGAGTCCTGGTACTAGACTCCTGGTGCTAGACTCCTGGTACTAGACTCCTGGTGCTAGACTCCTGGTACTAGACTCCTGGTACTAGACTCCTGGTTCTAGAATCCTGGTTCTAGAATCCTGGTACTAGTCTCCTGGCTCTAGACTCCTGGCACTAGACTCCTGGTGCTAGACTCCTGGTATTAGTCTCCTGGTGCTAGACTCCTGGTGCTAGACTCCAGGTGCTAGACTCCAGGTGCTAGACTCCCGGCACTAGTCTCCCGGCGCTAGACTCCTGGCGCTAGACTCCTGGCGCTAGGCTCCTGGCGCTAGACTCCTGGCGCTAGGCTCCTGGCGCTAGTCTCCTGGCTCTAGACTCCTGGCGCTAGTCTCCTGGCTCTAGACTCCTGGCGCTAGACTCCTGGTGCTAGACTCCTGGTACTAGTCTCCTGGTACTAGTCTCCTGGTACTAGTCTCCTGGCTCTAGACTCCTGGCACTAGACTCCTGGCGCTAGACTCCTGGCGCTAGACTCCTGGTGCTAGACTCCTGGTACTAGTCTCCTGGCTCTAGAATCCTGGTACTAGACTCCTGGTGCTAGAGTCCTGGTACTAGACTCCTGGTGCTAGACTCCTGGTGCTAGACTCCTGGTACTAGACTCCTGGTGCTAGACTCCTGGTTCTAGAATCCTGGTACTAGACTCCTGGTGCTAGAGTCCTGGTACTAGTCTCCTGGCTCTAGACTCCTGGTGCTAGACTCCTTGTGCTAGAGTCCTGGTACTAGTCTCCTGGCTCTAGACTCCTGGCTCTAGACTCCTAGCTCTAGACTCCTGGCTCTAGACTCCTAGCTCTAGACTCCTGGCTCTAGACTCCTGGTCCTAGACTCCTTGTGCTAGAGTCCTGGTACTAGTCTCCTGGCTCTAGACTCCTGGCTCTAGACTCCTGGCTCTAGACTCCTGGCTCTAGACTCCTGGTGCTAGGATGGGTTAAATGCAGAGAACACGTTTCACTGTGTGTGCTGTGTGCTCTGCATGTGTGACCATTACAGAGGGTTTCATCCCTCCCAATTCTAGGTCAGTATTAACCTATGTTATTGATCATATCTCCTCCCTTAGATGTCCCTGGGCCCTGCGAGCCGCCCGTCATCACCAACATCACCAAGGACTCCATGACGGTGAGCTGGAAGGCGCCAGCAAACGACGGCCGCGCCTCCATCCTGGGCTACATGGTGGAGAGGCGCGAGGCCACAGAGCTGGCCTGGGCCAAGGTCAACCGACGACCCGTCATCGACCGCTCCATCAAGGCGGTGCAGCTGAGCGAAGGGTCCGAGTACGAGTTCAGAGTCATCGCGCTCAACAAGGCGGGGCCGGGGAAACCCAGCGACGCCTCCAACGCCGCGCTGGCCGTAGACCCCGTCTGTGAGTTACCGCTTTAGAGAGATGATCTGATGTGCTTGGATTACAATTTACAGGGAGGGACATGTTCATTATAAAGGTCTCCTATCATGCTATGCTCTTTTATACATAAACATGTGTCCCCGGTGTCAGGAGACTCACAACGTGTCAGAAAACACAACCCTCTCTCTTTTCCTCCATACCCAAATCTCTAAAAACGAATTTTGAGCAGGCATTAGCTCCCCCTCCTCTTTTAAAAAAAATGATTTCAGTACTTTAGTAACAGGCTGAAAGAGAGGGGGATGAGGCTAGAATACATGATCTGTTTGGTATTTTGAGCAAAACCCTTCAGGGACATGTTTTTTATATGTCTGAGACCTATAATATATGCCTACAAATAGTATAATAGGCGACCTTTAAGAAAATTAAAATCCCACTTTGACGTTTAAAAGGTGCAATTTATTTCCCTATGAACTATGAGGATAATGCCTAATATGACCCTTTATTCCTGCAGACCCCCCTGGTCCTCCTGCCTTCCCGAAGGTGGTGGACTCGACCCGCTCCTCCGTCAGCCTCAGCTGGTCCAAGCCGGCGTACGATGGCGGCTGCGAGATCATCGGCTACCTGGTGGAGTGTAAGCGTGTGGACGGAGAACACTGGAACAAGTGCAACATCCCCAAGAAGCTGCAGGAGACGCGCTTCCTGGCGACCGGACTGATGGATGACGCGGAGTACCAGTTCAGGGTCATCGCCGTCAACAAGATCGGCTTCAGCGAGCCCAGCGAGGTCCCCGGGAACCACACGCCCAAAGACATCCTGAGTAATTACACATCATTACTGTTTTCACACCATTGTTAGTTTTAGATATTCAGATAAGTGTTCTGTCTCCACTGGAAGCTATACAGAGGTGGGAAGTAACTAAGTACGGTTACTCAACTACTGTACTTAAGTACAATTTTGAGGCACTTTACTTGAGTATTTCAATGTTATGTTACTGTGTAGTTCTACTCCACTAGAGTTCAGAGGTGAATGGTACAAGATCTGAGTACTTGTCCCACCTCTGAAGCTGTAGCTGTCTCTTTAATAATAATAATAATATTAATAATGCATTTGATTTTGATAGCGCTTTTCAAACAGTCAGAAACAGTACAAAGAAACCAAGAAACATAAGCAGTAGTCCTTGTACAGTGCAGTGTGTGTGGGGGGGTGCTGACCAGAGTTTGAAGGCTACAGTGAATAAGTGAGTTTTGAGAGATGTTTGACCCTTGCATTAACCCCCTCTCCCCCTGCAGTCGCCCCTGAGGCGGAGCTGGATGCTGACCTGAGGAAGGCTCTGGTCCTGAGGGCGGGGGTCACCATGAGGGTCTACGTCCCTCTGAGGGGCCGCCCGGCACCCAAAGTGACGTGGTCCAAGGCGGACGCCAACCTGAAGGACCGGCAGGTTCTGATCAAGACGTCGGAGTGGGACACGCTGCTGATGATCGAGGACGTGAACAGATACGACGCCGGGAAGTACATCCTGACTCTGGAGAACAGCAGCGGCTCCAAGAGCTACACCATCGTGGTCAAAGTGCTCGGTGAGGAGATGCACATTGTTATGGTGTTAGAGGGGAGGGGGAACTGGGTTCAAATGGAGGTCAATAGAAAGGGTTAAAGGTAGCTTCCTGACGCTCATCTCTCTAACGCGTTAAAAACACCAGTCACTCAAAACATAACACATGGCGCTTTGAGATGCATTATGAACATACTTACAATGCATCATGACTTCACTCGAAATACATAAACATACTGACATGGGTCATAAACATACTCATAAAGTGTGATAAATAACTCCATTCTAAACATAATTGAATGGTTCATAACAGAATCTGATTACTGAACTGTGATTTCACAGAGATATAAATCAGGATGTTTCCCCCTCTGTTATGGGCATCTCCAACCTGATTCTTTATACCTCCCCCCCTCAGATTCCCCCAGCCCCCCCCTGAACCTGACAGTGAAGGAGACTTCAAAGACCCACGTCTCCATCACCTGGGACGCCCCCCTGCTGGACGGCGGCTCCCCGGTGAAGAGCTACGTGGTGGAGAAGCGTCTGGCGGACAGGAAGGCCTGGACCTGCGTGGCCCCCACCTGCCACAAGATCTCCTACAGGGTGACGGGCCTGGAGGAGGGGCAGGCGTACTGCTTCAGGGTGCTGGCCGAGAACGCGTACGGCATCGGGGAGGGCTGCGAGACCGCCGGCAGCGTGCGGGCCTCAGGTAACACACCAGGGTTCACAGTGGAGAAATATATATGCTTATTTTCATTTGTTTTATTATCAGCCTTAATATTATTATTATTATGTATATTATTCTATTTGTATTTTCAATCATTTTCATTTCTTTTTTTTGTTTAATAACTATCTGGACTATTTGTTAGTACATATATTTAATATAAATATGTATATAAGTCAAAATGTGCGATAAAAGTAAAGAGATAGTGTTTTAATCTACATTAACTCCTCTTGTTTACCACAAACGTCATGTTGAGTCTGAACCCCTCTGCCCCCCCCCTGCAGAGCAACCGGGCCCCGTGGCGGAGTTCAAGGCCACAAAGACCACGAAGGACTGCATCGTGCTGGCCTGGAAGAAACCGCTGGTCGACGGCGGCAGCTTCGTCACGTCTTACATCCTGGAGCAGAGCGAGGGCGAGGACAAGTGGACGGAGATCCTGAAGGGCAAGACCACCTCCCACACCATGGGGGGGCTCACCGAGGGCACCGAGTACCTGTTCAGGGTCAAGGCCCTCAACCAGTCTGGGGAGGGACCGCCATGCGAGCTCACCGTTATCGCCAAGGACCAGTTCGGTAAGAAATAACGATTTCATTGAATGTATTATAGGACGGAGAATAAACACATTTTCTTATGATGCTCACATGTGTTTAGGAATATGGATAATGACTGATTGACAGAAGATGTTATTTTGATTATTTATTATTATTTGTATTTGATTTAATTTAAATATAGAGATATTTGCAGCTTATTATAATAATAATACATTTGATTTATATAGCACACTTTAAAGACAAACGTCTTCTCAAGGTGCTTCACAAAGCTATAAGGAAAAAGAAATAAAAAGATATCTAAAGGAGCACATTGGATTAAATATGGCAATATAGAAAATAAAAACAAAAGGTTTAAAAATAAATAAATAAAGTAAAGGACAGCTTATCTTTGTTTTATGTCATATTTAAATTAAATTATCCAGAATTTCGAAACTTGGAATACTGTAAATGTATGTAAATGAGCAATTATTAAAAGATATACATGTTCAAACGTACACAATTGGAAAACCTGGCTTTACCCAAATTTCAGATTTCTTTTTTAAAATGTCAAATAAAGCATTCTTGATTGACAGTAAAATAATCTATGTACAACTCTTTTCAAAATGGCTGATTAATCCCAATTGTACTTTTAGACTGCTGCAATATTGAAATGTCACGCAGAGATTGTTCTACAGACAGTGTGGAGCAGATGTTTCCTGTTAATCTAACGTTGACTCTTTGTACCGCAGTGCTGCCTGACTGCAACCTGAGTGCCCTGCATGACGGCTGCTGCGTGGTGAAGGAGGGCAGCACCACCCGCATCAACATCCCGCTCATCGGCACCCCCATCCCCACCGTCACCTGGAAGAAGGGCGACACAGGGATCGGCGACACCGGCAGGATGTGTGTGGAGTCGTCTACGGGCGTCACCACGCTGCTGATCAGAGACTGCCAGAGAGGAGACGCCGAGACCTACAAAATCTACGTCCGCAACAACGCCGGCTCCAAGGAGTGCAAGTTCACCGTGAAGGTGGTGGGCAAACCCGGCATCTGCACCGGACCCATCAAGTTCGACGAGATCACGGCCGACGGCATCACGCTGGAGTGGGGCCCGCCCACAGATGATGGTGGCGCGGAGGTGTCCAACTACATCGTGGAGAAGAGAAGGACCACGGACAACAAGTGGGCCACGGTTGCATCCGCTATTCAGAAGACCAGCATGAGGGTGATCCGGCTGCACGACGGCGCGGAGTACATCTTCAGAGTGTTCGCAGAGAACAAGTACGGGGTGGGCGAGTGCCTGAGGTCCGAGCCCGTCATCGCACAGCATCCCTTCAGTGAGTATCACGTCCTTTGGGTTATTGTGCCTCCATAACTCTTTTGAGATGTGTGGAAAGGAAACATCCATTATCCACCATCAGGAGTTCCTTCTACTAACTTTGTCTATTTGTGTATGTAGTGTCTTCCCTTAAGGAACAACGTTTTGAGGCGGCTTTCTACCATTACATCTGAAGAATATAACTTGGCACAAGACTTTAACGAGTCTCTGTGGTTTATTCCTTATTCCTTTCCTAATTCTTCCACCTCCCTTTCTGTTTCCGCTCCCTCCAGATGTGCCCGAGGCTCCTGCTCCTCCAGTAATAGCAGAAATTCGCCATGAGATGGCCATGTTGACCTGGATGGATCCAAAGGAAACCGGTGGATCCCCAATTACTGGTAAAACTTAGCCTCTACTGTCTCCCTTCACAGCCTAAACATGAAACATAACAGATGTATGTGGTATAAATCAGTTTAATAGCATTGTCCTGATCAGAGCTTGTGGGTTCTCTGCAGGGTTCCACGTGGAGTTTAAGGAGAGGAACAGCCTGATGTGGAAGCGAGCGACGAAGACTCCTCTGAGACTGAGGGACTGCAGAGTCACCGGCCTGATCGAAGGACTGGAGTACGAGTTCAGAGTGATGGCCATGAACATGGCCGGCCTCGGCAGACCAAGCAGGGTCACAGAGGCTGTGGTTGCCCTTGATCCTATTGGTGAGGAGATTTTATTTGTTTCCTCTCTTAGAGTGACAACAACATTCTTCTTGTTATTACAATACTGAATATTGAATGGGAAAACAACAAATGCTGTTTTTTACCCTTTTTCTGGAGTTCTGGGGTCTTCTCAGGGGGCTCCAGACTGTTTTAGGGAAACCCACAGTCTTAGACTTTGAAACACTTTTGAACACCTTTCCTTTTTGTCCTGTCAGATCCTCCTGGTAAGCCTGAAGTGATCAGCATCACCAGGAACACGGTCACTCTCATGTGGACCGCTCCCAAATATGATGGCGGCCACAAGTTGACCGGCTACATGGTGGAGAAGTTAGAGGCTGGCGGCAAGGCCTGGTTGAAGGCCAATCACGTCAACATCCAGGGCTGTGCCTTCACCGTCACCGACCTGACGGAGGGAGCTCAGTATCAGTTCTTGGTCAAGGCCAAGAACTCTGCTGGAGCTATCAGTGTTCCTTCAGAGACCACTGAGCTCGTGGCTTGCAGGGATGAATACGGTAAGCTTAGCAGTAAACTTAGTAAGGTAGTTCAAAACATGTGCAATCTTTTTTATTTAAATTCAACTCAATCCTCCCTCCGCAGAGCCCCCGACCATCACTATTGACCCGGACATGAAGGACGGCGTTTCAGTGAAGGCAGGGGACACCATCGTGATCAGAGCCTCCAAGATTTTGGGCAAACCTCTCCCCACTTCTGCGTGGTCCAAGGGAGGCCGTGAGTTTAAGAGCTCTGAGATCGTCTCCATCACCACAACCCCCACCTCCTCCACTCTGTCAATCAAGTACGCCAGCCGGAAGAACACCGGAGAGTACACCATCACCGCCAGCAACCCCTTCGGCATTAAGGAAGAACGCGTGAAGGTGAAGGTCCTCGACGTGCCCGGACCTCCAGGCCCCATTGAAGCCAGTAACATTTCCGCTGAGAAGTGCACTCTGACCTGGCTGCCACCAGACGAGGACGGAGGCTTCTCCATCAAGTCCTACACCCTGGAGAAGAGAGAGACCAGCCGCCTGCAGTGGACCAAGCTAGCAGAAAACATCATGGACTGCAGACATATAGCTGCCAAACTGATCAAAGGCAACGAGTACATCTTTAGAGTGTGTGCCGTGAACCAGATTGGCACTGGTGACGCCAACCAATCTGGTCCAGTAAAAATGATTGACAGCTTCCGTAAGTTTACATGTTTTTTGTGTTTATATCTCTATGATGTTTTATTAATGGAACTAAAGGATTGAGTAATTCAAGGCATACCTGACACATGCTCTTTGTTTGTGTCCCCAGGTGCACCAGGACCACCCTCAATCCCAGAGGTTGATAACATCAGTAGGAATGCTGTCACCATTTCATGGAGGAGACCAGTACAAGACGGTGGAAGTGACATTAGAGGATATAGTGTAGAGAGGAAAGAGAGGAAAGGAATGAGATGGGTGAGGGCCTCCAAGAGGACAGTCCCTGACCTGCGTTTTAAGGTGCAAGGCCTGACTGAAGGAGTAGAGTATGAGTTTAGAGTGACTGCAGAGAACAAGGCTGGATTTGGGGAGCCAAGTGAGCCATCGGCATCTGTGATGACCAAAGACATTGTCTGTAAGTAAAACTGGACTCATCAAATAATTCAGAATTCAATTTAAAGTTGCATACGCCGAAAAGTCCCATCATTGAGCACTTACTTTCCCTTTTTTTAACTCCTGCTTTTTCTTGTTGATTAGATCCCCCTGGACCTCCATCCAACGCCAGACTCATAGACACCACAAAAACCACAGCTTCCTTAGCCTGGGGCAAACCCCACTATGATGGCGGTCTTGAAGTAGATGGATATACTGTTGAGTACAAAAAGGAAGGTCATGATGACTGGGAGGTAGAGACACCGTATCCAGTGAAAGTTACAGAATACGTTATTGGCAAACTTCAGAAAGGAGGGAAATACTACTTCAGGATTATCGCTGTAAACTCAGAGGGAGTTGGTGAGCCTGCAGAGATTGAGAACGTGACTGAACTGGTGGACCAAGAGTCGCTGCCAGACTTTGAGCTGGATGCTGAATGCAGGAGAACCCTGGTGGTCAGATGCCGTGCTTCAATCCGGTTGTTTGTACCAATTAGAGGTCGTCCCGTTCCTGAAGTAACCTGGAGCAAAGATGATAGCAACCTGAAACAACGTGCACACATCGACACCACAGAGTCCTACACCCTCCTGGTTGTTCCTGAGTGCACCAGATACGATGCTGGAAAGTACAACCTTTGCCTTGAGAATGTTGCCGGAAAGAAGACAGGCTTTGTTAATGTGAAGGTTTTGGACACACCAGGACCACCAGTTAACGTCATACCTAGAGAGATCACTAAGAACAGCATCACCCTCCAGTGGGAAATCCCCATTATCGATGGTGGTTCTAAGATCCATAGATACGTTATTGAAAAGAGAGCGGCCACCAAGAAGGCCTACACAGTGCTCAGCACTACGTGGCAGAAGTGTTCCTTCAAGTTTACAGACCTTGAGGAGGGAGCATACTACTACTTCCGTATCTCTGCTGAGAATGACCTGGGCATAGGCGAACCCGCTGAATCCCCTGAGCCAATCAGGGTGTCCCAGTCCCCCTCTGCACCAGAGAACTTGTACGTCACTGATGTGACAGCTGACAGCGCCAGCCTGTCATGGACCAAACCCCTGCACGATGGTGGCAGCTTGATCACTGGATACGTTATTGAATCCCAGAAGAAAGATGGGGAGTGGGTCCATTCAGCCGCCATCAAGGCACTGGATTACACTGTCACAGATCTGGTCGAGGGTGCAGAATATACATTCCGCATTATGGCCGTCAATGCATCAGGCAGGAGCGACCCACGTGAGAGCAGGCCTGCCATTATCAAAGAGCAGACTTCAGCTCCTTCCTTTGACCTGCGTGGAATCTACCAGAAGACGGTCATTGCCAAGGCAAGGGACCGCCTCAAGGTGGAGATTCCTGTTCTTGGCAAACCCAGACCTGTGGTTTCCTGGAAGAAGGGACAAATAGCGCTCAAGGAGACACAAAGAATCAACGTTGAAACCACACCAACATTAACTATCCTGAACATCGGTGAGATCAAGAGGAGCGATGGAGGCCCGTATTCCGTGACTGGAAAGAACATGCTGGGTACAGTGACTGAGACAATCACAGTCCTGGTCCACGACATTCCCGGTCCTCCCACTGGACCCATCAAGCTGGAGGAAGTCTCATGTGATTATGTTCTCATGTCCTGGGAGGCACCAGAGAATGACGGAGGTGTTCCTATCAACAACTATATTGTTGAAATGAGGGACACTACTGGTACTTCCTGGATGGAGCTGGCAGCAACAGTTATCCGCACCACATTCAAGGCAGCCAAACTCAACACTGGAACAACATATCAGTTCCGTGTCAAGGCCCAGAACAGATATGGCATTGGACCATGCATTGTCTCTGAGCAAGTGGTTGCTGCCTATCCATTTGATGTGCCAGGCCAGCCAGGCACTCCTGTGGTCACATCTTTCAACAAGGATGCAATGACTCTGAGCTGGAATGAGCCTTCCTCTGATGGAGGCAGTGTCCTCATTGGCTATCATGTCGACAGAAAAGAGAAAAACAGCATTCTGTGGCAGAGGATTAGCAAAGGTCCTGTTGTTGGAAATATCTTCAAATCAACCGGACTTGTTGATGGAATTGCATATGAACATCGTGTTACTGCTGAAAACATGGCCGGTCTCAGCAAACCAAGCAAACCCTGTGAAGCTGTGTATGCTTTGGACCCAGTCGACCCACCAGGCAGACCTGTGGCACTGAATGTCACCAGACATGAGGTGACTGTGTCATGGACCAGACCGGAGGGAGATGGTGGATTCTCCATCACTGGATACACAGTAGAGAAGAGAGAGATGCCCAACGGACGCTGGCTCAAAGCCAACTTCAACAACATCCTAGAAACCATCTACACTGTCAGTGGTCTGATTGAAGATGCTACTTATGAGTTCCGTGTGTTTGCCAGAAATTCAGCTGGTGCTCTTAGTGCTCCATCCCAGTCATCGGAGGCAATTACATGCAGAGATGACCTGGAAGAACCCAGGCTTGATGTTGACTCATCGTATAGCAGCACTATTGTTGTTATGGCAGGAGAGTTGTTCAAGCTGGAGGCCAATGTTACTGGCAGGCCACTTCCATCTCTGGTATGGACCAAGGAAGGAAAGGAGCTTTTGGATACAGGCAAGCTGGAGATAAAGTCAACTGATTTCCACACAGTTCTTACAAACAAAGATTCCCTGAGGAAGGACGGAGGTGTCTTTATTCTGACTGCCAGCAATCCTGCAGGCTTTGCCAAGTTCACCTTCAATGTCAAGGTGCTGGACAGACCCGGACCACCAGACTCCCTCACTGTTACTGACGTCACTGCTGAGAAATGTGTCCTTAACTGGCTGCATCCATCACATGATGGCGGCGCCAAGATCGAGTACTTTGTCATACAGAGGCGAGAGACAAGTAGGTTGGCATGGACAAATGTGGCCACGGAACTTCAGGCAAACAGGTTCAAGGTCACTAAGCTTCTGAAGGGCAATGAATATGTCTTCAGAGTCATGGCTGTTAACAAATATGGCGTGGGTGAGCCCCTGGAGTCTCAAGCTATCATCTGCACCAACCCCTATGTCCCCAGCGACCCCCCACAGCAGCCTGAAGTCACCACCATTACAAGGGACTCCATGGTCGTCTGCTGGGAACGCCCTGAACACGATGGAGGCAGCGGATTGAACACCTACATTATTGAGAGAAGGGATAAGACTGGCATGCGCTGGGTGAAATGCAATAAGAGGACTGTCACTGACCTGCGTTTCAAGGCCTCGGGCCTCACACCAGGACATGAATATGAATTCAGAGTTTTTGCAGAAAATAATGCTGGTCTAAGTCAGCCTAGTCCCTCCAGTCCATTTTACAAAGCCGAAGACACCATTTTCCAGCCTGGACCTCCAGGGAACCCAAGAGTGCTGGACACAACCAAATCATCCATCACCCTTGCCTGGAACAAGCCTGTATATGATGGTGGTTCTGAAATCACTGGTTACATTGTGGAGACCTGCCTGCCTGAGGAGGATGAGTGGACAATACACACTCCCAAGAAGGGATGGACAGCCACTTCCTTCACTATTATCAACTTGAAGGAAAACCAAGACTACAAAATAAACATATGTGCCACTAATTGTGAGGGAGTTGGAGAGCCCGCTGCTGTTCCTGGAACCCCCAAGGCTGAAGACAGACTGCTTGCTCCAGAGATTGAACTAGGAGCAGAGCTGCGTAAGGTTGTTGCCATCAGAGCCTGTAGCACACTCAGACTCTTTGTTCCTATTAAGGGCAGACCTGTGCCTGAAGTTAAATGGTCGAGGGAGCATGGAGAATCCCTGGACAAAGCCATCATTGAAATCACCTCATCATTCACTACTCTTCAGGTAGAAAATGTTGACAGGTTTGATGCAGGCAAATACCTGGTAACTGTAGAGAATGCCTCAGGAAGCAAAACAGCCTATGTTAATGTCAGGGTGCTCGACACTCCTGGAGCCGCTCAGAATCTGATCGTCAAAGAGATCACTAGAGATTCAGTTTCCCTCGTTTGGGATGCACCACTCATTGATGGTGGCTCCAGAGTTCGCAACTACATTGTGGAGAAGCGTGAGTCAAACAGAAAGGCCTACTCAACAGTCTGTGCTAGCTGTCATAAGTCTAGTTGGAAAATAGGAGACCTTGAGGAAGGAAAGATGTACTTCTTCAGAATCCTGGCTGAGAACGAATACGGCGTTGGCCTCCCAGTGGAGACTGTTGAACCACTTAAAGTGTCAGAGAAGCCTCTTCCACCAGGCAAAGTTACCCTTCTTGAAGTTACCAGCTCCAGCGTCTCACTATCTTGGGAAAAACCTGACCACGACGGTGGCAGCAGAATCTCAGGCTATATTGTTGAGATGCAGGGTAAAGGCAGTGAGAAGTGGACCCAGGTCATGGTGGTAAAGACCGCTTCGGCTGTTGTAACTGGCCTCACACGGGGAGAGGAGTATATGTTCCGCATCTCAGCCACTAATGAAAAGGGAGTAAGTGACCCACGTCCTCTTAGTGTGCCTGTGGTGGCTAAAGACCTAGTTATCACACCAACCTTCAAAATGGTGTTCACCACATACAGTGTGCTAGCAGGAGATGATCTGAAGATAGATGTACCATATGCTGCATGTCCCAAGGCTACAGCAACTTGGCTCAAAGATGGCATTGCTCTTAAGGAGACAACAAGAGTTAATGCTGAAGCATCAGACAAAAACCTTCACCTGGTTATCAAGGAGGCTTGCAGAGATGATGTGGGCACATACACTATCAAACTGATCAACGCTGTTGGAGACGCATCCGCAGACATCAGTGTAGTTGTTCTAGATAAGCCTGGTCCACCAACCGGCCCAATTAAGCTGGATGAAGTCACTGCTGACAGCGTGGTCCTGTCCTGGAATCAACCAGAGTATGACGGTGGTTGTGCCATCAACAATTACGTTGTTGAGAAGAGAGATACATCTACCACAAACTGGCAGATTGTGTCAGCAACTGTGGCCAGAACCACTATCAAGGCAGCCCGTCTGAAGACTGGAATTGAGTATCAGTTCAGGATTGCTGCAGAGAACAGATATGGCAAGTCCTCAGTCCTGCTCTCTGAGACAATTGTTGCTCAGTATCCATTTGAATTGCCAAGCCAACCAAGTTCTGTTGAGGTCCAGTCAGCCACCAAGGAGAGCATGGTGGTTGTATGGGAAAAACCCAGCACTGATGGTGGAAGCAAAATTCTGGGCTACCACTTGGAACTCAAAGAGAGAAACAGTTTAATGTGGGTGAAACAGAACAAACAAATAATCCCAGACACCAGATATAAGGCCGTTGGTCTTGAGGAAGGTATTGAGTATGAATTCAGAATCTATGCCGAGAACATTGTTGGCCTCAGCAAAGCCAGCAAACTGAGTGAAATGCAAGTGGCAAGAGATCCTTGTGACAGACCAGGAAAACCAGAGGCTGTCATTGTAACAAGAAGCCAAGTGACACTCAGATGGACAAAACCTGAGTATGATGGTGGCATCATGATCACAGGCTATGTGGTTGAGAAGAAGGAAGGATCTGGCCGCTGGATGAAGGCCAGTTTCGCCAACGTCATTGACACACAATTTGTTGTCACAGGACTTACTGAAGATCAGGTTTATGACTTCCGTGTCATCGCCAGGAATTCAGCAGGTGTCTTCAGCAAGCCCTCTGATACTACTGGGGAAATTACTGCCAGGGATGAGGTTGATCCACCCAAGATCGAATTAGAATCTAAATACTCCCAGGCTGTGGTTGTAAATGCTGGCGAGACATTCAGTCTTGAGGCTGCCATCTATGGCAAACCTGTGCCCACATTGACCTGGCTAAAGGAAGGTAAAAAGATGGCTGAAGCAGCACGCCTAGAGCTCAAGAACACAGACTTTAAAGCTCACTTAACTGTGAAAGAAGCAATCCGTGTTGATGGAGGTCAGTACACCTTGCTGGTAAAAAATGTTGGAGGCGAGAAATCAGTAAACATCAATGTCAAGGTCCTGGACAGACCAGGTCCACCTGATGGCCCTATCTCCATCTATGGGGTCACCAATGAGAAATGCAGCATTGCCTGGAAATCTCCTCTCCAAGATGGAGGAAGCGATATCTCCCATTACATTGTTGAGAGGAGGGAAACCAGCAGACTGGTTTGGACAGCAGTTGAACAAAAAGTTCAGACACTGAACCTGAAAATCACAAAACTACTTCCTGGTAACGAGTACATCTTTAGAGTGATTCCAGTCAACAAATATGGAGTTGGTGAGCCTCTGGAATCTGAAGCCATGATTGCCAAAAATCCATTTGTCACTCCCAATGCGCCAAAAGAGGTAGAAGTCTCCACAATCACCAAAGACTCTATGGTGGTGACCTGGGAGAGACCAACTAGTGATGGTGGAAACTCTATCCAGGGATACGTTGTTGAGAAACGTGACAAGGATGGTGTGAGATGGACCAGATGCAACAAGCGTACAGTTAGTGAGCTCCGCTTTAGAGTAACAGGGTTGCTTGAAAACCACAGCTATGAATTCAGAGTTTCTGCTGAAAATGCTGGAGGTGTTGGCACACCTAGTGAACCAACAGTGTATTACAAGGCATTGGATCCGATCTTCAAAGCAGGCCCACCAAACAACCCCAAGGTGATGGACACATCCAGGTCCACTGTCTCCCTGACATGGGGTAAACCTATCTATGATGGTGGCTGTGAGATTCAGGCATACATTGTTGAGGCCTGCAATCAAATATCCGATGAGTGGGTTATGTGCACTCCTCCAACTGGAATCACAGAAACTAAGTTCACAGTAAAAAAGCTTCTGGAGAAGCACGAATACACATTCAGAGTGTGTGCTATCAACAAAGTTGGAGTTGGGGAGCATGCTGACGTTCCAGGGAAAATTCTTCTGGAGGAGAAGCTTGAAGCTCCTGATCTTGACCTTGATACTGATATGAGAAAGATGATCAACATAAGATCAGCAAGCACTCTCAGGCTGTTCGTTCCTGTGAGAGGTCGTCCAGCTCCTGAGGTGAAATGGGGCAAGGCTGAGGGCGAGATTAAGGAGACTGCCATGATTGACAATACAGGCAACTATGCTTCACTTGTCATTGATAATGTTGACAGATTTGATACTGGCAAGTACACACTGACTGCAGAAAATGCCAGTGGAGTGAAGTCAGTATTCATTAGTGTCAGAGTCCTGGACTCACCTGGTCCACCAGCTAACTTCATGGTGAAAGAGATTACCAAGAATTCTGTTACTCTCACCTGGGAGCCTCCAATTCTGGATGGTGGTTCAAAGGTTAAGCACTATCTTGTTGAGAAGCGTGAGAGCACCAGGAAAGTCTATTCTACCATCACAACCTGCAACAAGATGACCTGGAAAGTTGAGCCACTTCCAGAGGGTGGAATCTTCTTCTTCAGAGTCGTGGCTGAGAATGAATATGGTGTGGGTCTCCCTGCTAAAACTATAGAGCCAGTTAAGATATCCGAGAAGCCTCAGCCCCCTGGTAAAGTCAGTGTTGTTGATGTCACTTCTAAAACTGTAACTCTCACCTGGGAGAAGCCTGAACATGACGGTGGCAGTAGAATCAGCTACTATGAAGTCGAAATGTCAGCTAAGGATAGTGAAGCTTGGTCTCTGTGTGCTAGTGGAAAGTCACTGGAGACTGTAGTAACAAACCTTCGCAAGGGAGAGGAGTACATGTTTAGAGTGATTGCCGTAAATGACAAGGGCAAAAGTGATGCCAGACAACTGGCTCAGACTGTTTTAGCTAAGGACCTTGTGATTGAGCCTTCTGTTAGACCCAAAATGAGCACCTACAGTGTCCAGGTGGGTTATGACCTCAAGATAGAGGTCCCAACTGCTGGTCACCCAAAGCCTACCATCACTTGGACCAAGGATGGAGCAGCCCTTAAGCAGACCACCAGAGTCAATATCACTGACTCTGCACGCACCACCACTCTCACCATAAAAGATGCAACAAGGGATGATGGAGGCATGTACAGCATCAATATTGCCAATGCCATGGCTTCCAAGGATGCCACTATTGAAGTGATAACCCTGGACAAACCTGGCCCAGCAACAGGCCCTGTAAAATTGGAGGATGTCAGTGCTGAGAGTTTAACTCTGACCTGGGAACCTCCTACATATACAGGTGGCTGCCCAATCTCCAACTATGTGGTTGAGAAGAGAGACACAACCACAACCAACTGGGTTGTTGTTTCAGCAACTGTGGCCAGAACGAGTCTAAAAGTGGCCAATCTGAAAACAGGCAGTGAATATCAGTTCCGAATCTATGCTGAGAATAAATATGGAAAGAGCTATGCAATTGATTCAGAGCCTGTTTTGGCACAGTATCCGTTCCAGGAGCCTGGACCACCAGGAACACCATTTGTGTCTTTGTACTCTAAAGACTTTATGGTGGTTGAGTGGCACAAACCTCCAACTGATGGAGGCAGTGCCATCTTGGGATACCATCTGGAGAGAAAGGAGAAGAACAGCATTCTTTGGACCAAGATCAACAAAATGCTAATCCAAGACTGCAGGTACAAATCTACTCCTCTTGAAGAAGGCATTGAGTATGAGTACAGAGTCTATGCTGAGAATATTGTTGGCATTGGAAAATGCAGCAAAGTCTCTGAGGTTTATGTAGCTCGTGACCCATGTTATCCTCCTGGCCGCCCTGAGGCTGTGATTGTGACCAGGCACTCAGTGAAGCTGAGGTGGACAGCTCCAGAGTATAATGGCGGAAGCTTAATTACTGGCTACGTAGTGGAGAAGCGTGACCTTCCCGAAGGAAAGTGGATGAAGGCCAGCTTTGCAAACGTCCTTGACTACGAATTTACAGTTAGTGGCCTGACAGAAGACAACAAATATGATTTCAGAATAATTGCAAGGAATGGAGCTGGTGCTATCAGCAAGCCCTCTGAAAGCACGGGATCCATCACAGCCAAGGATGAAGTCGACCCACCCAAGTATGAGACTGATTCTATGTACAACCAGACAATTGTTATCAATGCTGGAGAGAATTTCAATCTGGAGGCAAGTGTTGGAGGAAAGCCCATCCCCACAGCTCAGTGGTTCAAGGGATCTGTTGAAGTTGAAAACTCATCAAGAGCTGAGATCAAAAACACAGACTTTAAGGCTTTGCTTGCTGTGAAGGATGCCATTAGAGTGGATGGTGGACAGTACACACTTGTTCTGACTAATGTGGCTGGATCAAAGACTGTCCCATTCAGTGTGAAGGTCCTGGACAGACCCGGCCCACCAGAGGGACCTCTTACTGTCAGCAATGCCACAGAGGAGAAGTGCTCACTGTCATGGCTGCCACCCAGGCATGATGGAGGAGCTGGCATTTCTACCTATGTCATTCAGAAGAGAGAAACCAGCCGCCTGGCATGGACTGTTGTTTCCAGTGACTGTGGTGCTACCATGTTCAAGGTTACCAAACTGTTGAAGGGCAATGAGTACATCTTCAGAGTCATGGCTGTCAATAAATATGGCTTGGGTGAGCCTCTTGAATCAGTGCCAGTTATCATGAGAAATCCGTTCGTTACCCCTAGCTCACCTCAGGAGCTTGAGATCACTAACATTACCAGGGACTCCATGACCGTCTGCTGGAACCGCCCCGAGAGCAATGGAGGCAGTGAGATTGTTGGTTACATTGTTGAGAAAAGAGACAGAGCTGGAGTGAGGTGGACCAAGTGCAACAAGCGCAGAGTGACAGACCTGCGTTTCAGAGTAACTGGTCTGACTGAGGACCATGAATATGAGTTCATGGTATCTGCTGAGAACGCAGCTGGAGTGGGTAAGCCTAGCCCACCTTTACCCTACACGAAAGCCTGTGACCCAAGCTTTGAACCGGGCTGTCCTTCCAACGCCCATGTGGTCAGCACTACTAAGGACACCATCAGTCTGGCTTGGCACCGTCCTATCTATGATGGTGGTTGTGAGATTCAAGGATACGCTGTGGAAATAACCAAGGCTGAGGAGGAGGAATGGAGCTTATGCACCCCACCCTCTGGAGTTAAGGATCCCAAGTTGACCATCACCAAGTTGATTGAGCACCAGGAGTACAAGGTGCGCATATGTGCTATCAATAAGCTTGGTGTTGGTGAGCCCACAGAGATTGAGGGTGTCGTTAAACCTTTAGATAAGATTGATCCTCCAGAGGTGATTCTGGATGCAGTGCTCAGGAAGGGAATAGTTGTCCGTGCAGGAGGCTCAATGAGAATCTGCATACCATTCAAGGGTCGTCCTACTCCGGAGATCAGCTGGGCCAAGGATGGCGGAGAACTGACCTCTAAAGCTCAGATAGACACTGGTGAAGAACAAACACTGCTAACCATTGACATCTGTGACAGATATGATGCTGGAAAATACATCCTCAACTTGGAAAATAGTGCTGGCACCAAATCTGCCTTTGTTGCTGTCAAAGTTCTGGACACTCCAGGTGCCCCAGTGAATCTGACAGTAAAAGACATTAAGAGGGAAAGTGTCACCCTCACATGGGAGCCTCCTCTTATTGATGGCGGTGCAAGAATCAAGAATTACCTGGTTGAGAAGCGTGAGTCCAACAGGATTGTTTACTCTAACGTGGAGAACAAGTGCACAAAAACAAGCTATCGTATCACAGGTCTTACTGAGGGAACTATCTACTATTTCAGAATCTTAGCAGAGAACGAGTTTGGCGTGGGAGAGGCAGTTGAGACCGAACATGCAGTTAAGACCTCAGAGCCTCCACTATCAGTGGGTAAGGTCACTTTGACTGAAGTGACCAAAACCTCTGCCTCTTTCTCCTGGGAGAAGCCAGTCCATGATGGAGGCAGCAGAATTAATGGCTACTACATTGAAATGCAGCCTGTGGGTTCAGAGGAATGGGTAGTGGCCGCCACAACCAAAACTTGCGAGGGCACTGTCCTAGGTCTTAGTTCAGGCCACGAGTACCTGTTTAGAGTGACAGCTTTCAATGAGAAGGGCAAAAGTGACCCCAGGCCTCTCGCTGCCCCCGTCACAGCCAAAGATGTAACTGTCCTGCCCGGGTTCACGATGTCAACCGACACATTCAGTTTACAGACTGGTGAGGATCTGAAGATTGAGATTCCAGTGATTGGACGTCCTGCCCCGAAGGTCGAATGGAGTAAGGATGGGAAGGCTCTTAAGGAGACAACCAGATTAAATGTAACCAGCACACCCACATCTACCAAGCTGTGCATCAAGGAGGCAAATAGGGAGGACTCTGGTAAATACACAATCACAGCAACCAGCAGTCTCGGAACAGCTAAGGAGGAGATGACTGTCGTTATTCTTGAAAAGCCTGGCCCACCCACAGGCCCTGTAAAGGTTGAGGAGGTGAGCTCTAATTATGTTCTTATCTCCTGGGAGCCACCAGTGTATACTGGAGGCTGTCAGATCAACAACTACATTGTGGAGAAGAAAGACACCACAACAACAGCATGGCAGATTGTGTCTGCTACTATTGCCAGGTCCACCATCAAAGTCACCAATTTGAAGACTGGAATTGAGTATCAATTCAGAGTGTCTGCTGAGAATAGATATGGAAAGAGTTCTGCCATTCTCTCTCCCAACGTTATTGCTCAGTATCCATTCAGTGAGCCTGCTGCCCCAGGAACACCAATTATTTCTGCTGCAACCAAGGATAGCATGGTTGTTGAGTGGAAGGTCCCCACCAACAATGGAGGCAGCCCCATCCTAGGATATCACCTTGAGAGAAAGGAAAAGAACAGCCTTTTGTGGACAAAACTCAACAAGCTTCTTATCCCAGACACACGTTTCAAGACTACAGAGCTGGAAGAAGGCATCGAGTATGAATTCAAAGTCTATGCTGAGAACATTGCTGGAGTCAGCCCAGCTAGCAAGGTCTCTGAGTGCACAGTAGCCAGGGATCCCTGTGACCCACCAGGCACTCCTGAGGCCATTGATATAACCAGAAATCATGTGGCACTTCAGTGGACCAGGCCTCAGTATGATGGAGGCAGTGCAATCACTGGCTATTTCATCGAGAGGAGGAAGCACCCAGATACCCGCTGGATGAAGGCCAGCTTCACCAACATCATTGATACCAATTACATTATCACTGGCCTCACTGAGGACTGTGTTTACGAGTTCAGAGTCGTTGCAAGGAACGCTGCTGGCATTTATAGCCGTCCTTCTGAGAGCACAGGAGAAATTACAGCTAAAGATGAAATTGAGGCACCAGAGGCCATCTTGGATTCTAAATTCAAGGATCTGACTGTTGTTAGGGCTGGAGAAACATTTATTATCGATGCTGACTACACTGGCAAGCCTCTGCCGGAAATCTCTTGGTTAAAGGAAGGAAAGGAGATTGACCAAACCACCCCAAGAATGGAGGTCAAGACCACAATCACCCGTACCATCCTCACAGTCAAGGAATGCATCAGAGTGGACGGTGGGCACTTTGTCCTCAAACTGGTCAATGTGGGTGGAATCAAGATGATCCCAGTTAATGTTAAAGTTCTGGATAGACCTGGTCCTCCAGATGGCCCGCTAGAAGTCAAAGGGGTCACATCTGAGAAATGTTATCTGCACTGGAGCCATCCCTCACATGATGGTGGAGCCAGCATCTCTCACTACATCATTGAGAAGAGAGAGACCAGTCGCTTGTCATGGACCATGGTTGAGCCCATGATCCAGGCTATCAGCTACAAAGTCACAAAACTGCTGCCTGGCAATGAATACATCTTCAGAGTCACTGCTGTGAATAAATATGGTATTGGGGATCCTTTGGAATCTGCGCCTGTCATTGCTCGTAACCCCTTCACCACTCCCAGCGCCCCGTCCACCCCAGAACCAAGCGTTATCGCTAGGGACTCCATCGTGCTAACATGGGAGAGACCAGAGAATAACGGAGGATCTGAGATTGATGGTTATGTGCTTGAAAAACGTGATAAGGATGGCATCAGGTGGACCAAGTGCAACAAAAAGAGGCTGACTGACCTGAGATTTAGATGCAGTGGCCTCGGAGAAGGACACTCTTATGAGTTTAGGGTCTCAGCTGAAAATGCTGCTGGTGTTGGAAAGCCTAGTGCACCATCTGAATACATCAAAGCGTGTGATGCCATTTATCCACCGGGATGTCCAAATAACCCCAAAGTCACAGATAATTCGAGCACCACAGTCTCTTTGTCCTGGTTCAGGCCTATCTATGATGGTGGAGCACAAATCAGCGGATATGTTGTGGAAATGAAGGAGGCAGCAGATGATGAATGGGTCACTTCCACACCACACAGTGGTGTTCAGGCCACCAACTTCACCATAAAGCACCTTAAGGAGAATGCAGAGTACAACTTCCGCATCTGTGCTGTCAACTGTGAGGGAGTAGGCGAGCATGTGGACCTACCAGGTTCTGTGATTGCTGCAGAGAAGCTGGAGGCTCCTGAGATTGAACTTGATGCTGATCTGAGGAAGATGGTCAATGTTCGGGCCACCGCCACCTTGCGCCTGTTTGTGCCAATCAGAGGAAAACCTGAGCCTGAAGTCAAATGGTCAAAGGCTGATGGAGTTTTGAATGAGCGTGCCCAGATTGATGTCACAAGCTCTTACACAATGCTGGTGATTGAAAATGTCGATAGATTTGATACCGGCAAATATGTACTGACCCTTGAGAATCTCAGTGGCTCTAAATCAGCCTTCATCAATGTCAGAGTCCTAGACTCTCCCAGTGCTCCTACCAACCTGGGGATTAAGGATGTCAAGAGAAATTCAGTCTCCATCTCCTGGGAACCTCCTCTTATTGATGGTGGGGCTAAGATATCACATTATATTGTGGAGAAGAGAGAGCAGAAGAGAATGGCTTTCACCAGTATTTGCACCAACTGTGTGAGGAACTCGTACCTTATTCCCGACCTTCAGGAGGGAGGTCGATACTATTTCCGAGTTTTGGCTGTGAATGAGCTGGGAGTAGGTTTGCCTGCATCCACAGATCAAGTCAAGGTTGCTGAGGCTCCTTTGCCCCCTGGCAAGATTGTCCTGGTTGATGTAACCCGTCATACCGTCACTCTTTCATGGGAGAAACCTGATCATGATGGAGGCAGCAAGATAACAAGCTTTATGGTGGAGATGCAGCCCAAGGGAGATGACAAATGGACTGTGTGCAGTGAAGCCAAAGCACTGGAAGCTACTATTGGAGGTCTCACAACTGGAGAGGAATACTCATTCAGGGTTACTGCTGTGAATGATAAGGGAAAGAGTGATGCCAAGCCTCTGGCCAACCCTGTCTTGTTGAAGGACATGACCACAAAGCCCTTCATTAGCCAGTTGTACGACACATACAGTGTAAGAGCAGGTGACGACTTGAAGATTGATGTTCCATTCAGAGGCAGACCTCAGCCTGAGGTGTCCTGGAAGAAGGATGGCCATGTGCTTAAGCAGACAACCAGGGTAAATGTTCTTAATTCCAAGACCTCATCCAAGATTATCATCAAGGATGCAACCAAGGAGGATGTAGGAAAGTATGAGATCACTCTGACAAACTCAGTTGGCACAAAGACAGCTGAAACCTCTGTTGTAATTCTGGACAAACCTGGCCCACCCAGCAACATTAAGTTTGATGAGGTGAGTGCTGACTTCATCAATCTGTCTTGGGATGCTCCAACCTATGACGGAGGATGCCAAATCAACAACTATGTAGTGGAGAAGAAAGACACTACCACCATTGCATGGCAGATTGTCTCAGCCACAGTAGCCAGGACTTCAATCAAGGTCAATCGTCTCAATCAGGGAACAGAGTATCAGTTCCGTATTGCAGCTGAGAACCGTTATGGCAAGAGTTCAGCAATTGACTCTGCTCCCGTTGTTGCTCAGTATCCCTTCGAGCCTCCTGGCACTCCTACCAACGTCCGTGTTTCCCATGCCACCAAGTATGGCATGCTTGTGGAATGGGGCAGACCTGCCAGTGATGGTGGCAGCCCTGTAACTGGTTATCACATCGAATGCAAAGACCAAAGCAGCATCCTGTGGACCAAGGTCAACAGAGGTCTGCTGGCTGAGAACCAGTTTAAGATGACAGGCATTGAAGAAGGCCTGTTTTATCAGTTCAGAGTCTATGCTGAGAACATTGCTGGAATTGGTCCATGTACTAAAGCCTGTGAACCTGTAGCAGCCAGGGATCCATGTGAATCTCCTCATAACCTTAGAGTCACCAACATTACCAGGACCTCAGTGTCCCTCTTCTGGGAGAAGCCTGAGTATGATGGTGGAGTGAAGATAACTGGCTACATTGTTGAGCATAGAGAACTTCCCAATGGCCGCTGGCTTAAATGCAACTTCACCAACCTGCAAGACACCTACTTCGATGTCACAGGCCTCACAGAAGATGTCCAATATGACTTCCATGTCATCGCTAAGAATTCTGCAGAGCTGTTGAGTGATCCCTCAGAGAGCACTGGTCCTGTCACAGTCAAGGATGATGTAGACCCTCCCACTATTATCCTGGAAGATAAGCTCAGACAGCTGGTTGTCGTTAAGGCTGGAGATATCATTCGAATTGATGCTGAAATCTCTGGCCGTCCACTCCCTGTTGTCACCTGGTATAAGGATGGAAAGGAGATTGAGGCCAAGGCCAGATGTGAAATCACTTCCACCAACTTCGCAACCACACTGATAGTCAGAGATGCTATCAGGAGGGACTCCGGCCAGTATGTCTTGTCTCTGCACAATGTGGCAGGAACCAGGGCAGTGGCTATCAACTTTAAGGTACTGGACATACCTGGACCTGCTTCAGGACCATTGTCAGTGTCTGGCCTCACAGCAGAGAAGTGCACCATAATGTGGGGTCCCCCTCAGGAGAACGGTGGGGCTGAAATCATGCACTACATTGTTGAGAAACGCGAGACCAGTCGCCTTGCCTGGACACTTGTCTATGCTGACATGAAGGCAACAACTTGTAAAGTGACCAAGCTGCTCAGAGGAAATGAGTACATCTTCAGAGTTAGGGGAGTCAACAAATATGGGGATGGTGAGCCCATGGAGAGTGAGCCAACAAAGGCCATTGATCCATTCACTGTTCCTGCAGCTCCCACTAATGTTCAAGTCACCTCAGTTACCAGTGAGGCAATGACCATCTGTTGGGAAAGGCCAACTTCTGATGGTGGCAGTTCTATCTCTGGCTATGTCATTGAAAAGAGAGAGAAGACTGGCCTTCGCTGGTGCCGTGTCAACAAGAAACCTGTTTATGACCTTAGAGTCAAGGCCGGAAACCTTCGTAATGGCTGTGAGTATGAGTACAGAGTGTTTGCAGAGAACTCCGCAGGCCTCAGTGCTTCCAGCACCACTTGCCCACTCACCAAAGCTGAAGATCCACAGTTCCTGCCCTCTCCTCCTGCCAAGCCTAAGATCATCGACTCTTCAAAGACAACAGTCACCCTGTCTTGGAATAAGCCACTGTTTGATGGTGGAGCACCTGTGACAGGTTACAAAATCAAATACAGGAAGTCTTCTGATGATGAATGGATGGTTGGAGTCCATAATACCAAGAACACAGAGTTCTCAGTGGGGGGATTGACACCTGGAACTGAATATGTGTTTGTTGTCAAATCCATTAACAAGATTGGAGCCAGTGAGAACAGTGCCGAGACAGACTCACAGGTCGCCAAAGAAAGAGAGGAGGAGCCAATCTTTGAAATCAGCAATGAGATGAGGAAGACCCTTATTGTTAAGGATGGTAGCTCATTCACCATGAAAGTGCCTTTCAGAGGCAAACCCATCCCAAGTGTTTCATGGTCTAAGGCTGATGTTGACCTTAGAGTTCGTGCTGTCATTGACACCACAGACACCTTCACCTCCATCACCTTAGAGAAAGCAACTCGCTACGACTCTGGCAAATACGTCATCACCTTGTCAAGCGTATCTGGAAATGCCTCTTTGACCCTCAATGTCAGAGTCCTAGATTCCCCAGGACCTCCTTGCCATTTGGAGGTCAAGGATGTGACCAGAACCTCTGCTTCTGTCACCTGGGACACTCCCGAGAATGAGGGAGGAGGACCAGTCAAGAACTACCTTGTTGATTTCCGTGAGGCAAGCAAGAAGGGCTGGACCAGGTTGACTGACACATGCCACAGACTTACATACAAGGTGTCGGACATACAGGAGGGAGGAGTATTCTACTTCAGAGTGACAGGCGAGAACGATTATGGTGTTGGTGTCTCTGCTGAAACCAAGGAAGGAACAAAGATCACAGGTAATTAATTTAAAATCAGGAAGATTATTGATTCGCACTGTCACAACATTATACCAGAATGTTGAAATAAAACACATGCTGTTCTCTGTACCCAGAAAAACCAAGTCCACCACCAAAGCTAGGTGCAACTGATGTGACCAAGGAGAGTGTGGCCCTGGCTTGGGCCAAACCAGATCACGACGGAGGAAGCAGAATCACTGGGTACCTGGTGGAAGCTCTGGAGAAAGGCCAGGAGAAGTGGGTTAAGTGTGGTGTGACCAAGTTGATCCACTTCACAGTGTTTGGTCTGAGGGAGAATGCTGAGTACTTCTTCAGAGTCAGAGCAGAGAACCACGCTGGCTTCAGTGATATCAAGGAAATGCTCACCCCAGTGGTGCTCAAGGACCAGCTCGGTAAGTAACTGATTTTTCAGATTCAAGAAATAACAGTCAGCCGATAAAGGCATTTAACCAGGATTTGCTTCCCTTGTTTCATCTCTCCTTGTTCCTTTTTTGCTCCAGAATCTCCTGAGATGAACATGAATGACTTCCCACACAACACAGTGTATGTAAGAGCCGGCTCCAACCTCAAGTGTGAGATCCCACTGACAGGCCGGCCTTTGCCTAAAGTCTCCCTGTCGAAAGACAACGTGTTGCTCAAATCAACCATGAGGTTCAACTCTGAAGTCACCCCTGACAGCATCAAGATCACTTTGCGCGAGAGCATTGCTGGAGACTCAGGACGCTACGATATCATTGCCTCCAACTCCAATGGAACCACAAAATCATTCTTAAATATTGTTGTTCTGGACCGCCCCAGTGCTCCAATTGGACCTGTGCAGATGTTTGACATCACAGAGGACAGCGTGAGCCTGGAGTGGCTCCCACCAGCATATGAAGGTGGCAGCCCTATCACCAACTACGTCATCCTGAAGAAAGAGGTAACCTCAGCCAACTGGGTGGAAGTGTCTTCTGCTGTGGCTCGCTGCACCATGAAGATCATGAAGCTGACCACTGGTCTAGCGTACCAGTTCAGGGTCAGAGCTGAAAACAAATATGGCATCAGTGAGCACATTGACTCAGAAACTGTTGCTGTCAACCTTCCTTACAGTAAGTCACTTTGCTTCCATGTTGTGTGTCACGTGATTCTTTTGTACACATTTCTTCTCTTTTATGACATTAACCCTCTTCAACTGTGACTGTTACCTCACAGCTATACCTGAAGCTCCATCGACTCCAGAGATCACTGCTGTTACCAAGGAGACCGTCACTGTCGCCTGGAATGAGCCTAAGTCAGACGGTGGCAGCCATGTGTTTGGCTACCATCTCCAGATGAAAGACAGGAACAGCATTCTCTGGCAGAAAGTCAACAAAATGGTGATCCGTGCCGCACACTACAAGGTCACCGACATCAGTGCGGGACTCATCTATGAGTTCAAGGTAGCAGCAGAGAACGCTGCAGGAAACAGCCCCTTCAGCAAGGTTTCTGATGCAGTGCTGGCCATTGATGCCTGTGGTGAGCGGAACATAATAACATGTCTCTAATATTCAAGAACATCTGATTGGAGTCATGAGCAACAGTTTCTTACTATGGGTTGTTATTGTGTGTTCCTGCAGAGCCACCCATCAACCTTCGCATTAGTGACATCACCAAGCACTCCATTAGCCTGGCCTGGCACAAGCCCAACTATGATGGCGGATCCTCCATTAATGGATACATCATTGAGAAGAAAGAAGGCGTTAATGCCAGGTGGTCCAAGGCTAACCTCACCAATGTCACAGACACCCGCTACACTGTGACCGGCCTCACCCAGGACGAGACGTACGAGTTCAGAGTCATGGCCAAGAATGCCGTCGGTTCAGTGAGCAACCCATCCATGGTGGTTGGACCAGCCACATGCGTGGATACCTATGGTAGGTCTTTATTTATTTATTATTTAGCATTTTACTCCTGTGGTTTGCTATCACATTTAGTGCAAGGGAATATATGTGTTAAGAATTGTGACACAAATTAAAATAGATATCATATTTGAACAGAACAGGCAACAATCCTTGCTATTTTCTCTCTATATATATATACTACATGCATCCTTATTTGAACTCACATACCTGTATTTTGATTTATCCAGGTGCCCCAGAGATTGAAATACCTCAAGAGTACTCCAGTGAGGTCAAGTACAGGGCTGAGTCCAATGTGGAGCTCACGTTTAACATCATAGCCAAACCTGCTCCCACAATTGAGTGGTTTAAGGATGGCAGGGAGCTTGCACCGACCAGCCAGCTCACCTTCAAACACACATTTGAGTCCACCAGTCTGTTCCTGAATGACACCACTCGTTTGAACTCTGGAACCTATGAGGTCCGGGTAAAGAACTCCATGGGATCTGCCTTCGCCATTGTTAGGCTGCTCATTCAAGGTATTTAGACATTTAAAAACTATAACCATGAATGTGGTATAACATTTATTTAAATACTGTTTTGACCATAACATGCACGAATATGTCCTTTCACCATCCAGACAAGCCAGGCCCCCCTGATGGCGAGATTGAGTTTAAGAAGGTGACAGCCAACACTGCCACCATCATGTGGTGTCCTCCTTCCGATGAGGGCGGTGCCATGGTGTCACATTATATTGTGGAGAAGAGGGAGACCAGCAGGATCATGTGGTCCATTGTCTCAGAGAAACTGGTAGACTGCATTGTTAACGTGCCCAGACTCATCGAAGGAAATGAGTACATCTTCCGAGTCCGTGGAGTCAACAAGTACGGCATCGGAGACGCACTGGAGTCCGAACCTATCGTTGCAAAGAACGCATTTGGTAAGGAAACAGAATAAAAAACACAACTGATGTTCAATGTATGAATTATTTGATGTTATTTTTAGTGCCAAACTACAATTTGAAGAGAAGCATTTCACTTCATCTAACCTGAACATTTTGATTTTGTACAGTTCCTCCTAGCGAGCCATCCAAGCCTAAAGTGACCATTATCACCAAGTCCACCATGACCGTGATCTGGGAAAGACCAGCAGTGGATGGAGGCAGCGACATTGACGGATACTACTTAGAAAAGAGGGAGAAGAAGAGTCTGCAGTGGTTCAAGGTTTGTTTGCCGACCTACATTTACACATTTTGCACTGAAGTGTAAAAGCCAAATGAATAACTGCCGTGTGTGAGGATCCTAACTTTGTTTTTTCTTGGCAAAGGTGGTGAAGGACACCATCAGAGACACCAGGCAGAAAGTCACCAACCTGACGGAGAACAACGAGTACCAGTACAGAGTTTGTGCTGTCAACAAGGCCGGAGCAGGAAACTACTCTGATGGCTCTGACCTCCACAAGGCCTACGACCCAATCGGTACGCTTATTATTGTAACTTTGCATTACGAAGTTACATTTGAAGACTTCTTAATTGTTAAGGTCTTTATTGCTGACAACATTCTTCATTCATCCCTTTTGTCTTCCTCAGATCTTCCTGGTGAGCCATCCAAGCTGCGTGTGGTGGACTCCACAAAGAGCTCCATCACCCTGGGCTGGGAGAAGCCCGTCTATGATGGCGGAAGTGAAATCACACACTACCTTTTGGAAATGTTGAATTCAGAGGAGAAAGAATGGGCCATCGTCAACCCGCAGGTCAAGGCCTGCGAGTACGTGGTGTCTCACCTCAAACCTGGAGCATACTACTTCTTCAGAGTCTCTGCTGTCAACTGCAAGGGCAAAGGAGAAGACATCAAAATGTACCAGCCCCTTCAAGCCAAGGATATCTTGGGTTCGTATTCTTGTAGATCCCTGCATGTTATTGACAACAAAAAACATATTGAGCATGACTCCATCAAACCATATTTATCATCTTTTCTATTGGATTGTTTTGCTATGGATTTTCCTCACTGACGAAATGAATTCCTGCTCTTTGTTTGTGTTACCCTTCCTTCCAACAGAGGAGGCCGATTTGGACTTGGACGTTCCCATGACCACCCAGTACACAGCCAGGGCCGGCCGTGACGTGGAGGTGTTTATCCCCTTGAAGGGACGCCCCGCCCCCAACGTGACATGGCGACGTGGTGACCGCAATATTGCTGCTGACAACCGCTACACCATCACCAGCACTGAGCGCGCCACCACGCTCCTGATCCCTAAGGTCAGCCGCGACGACCTTGGCAAGTACCTGCTGGAGATTGAGAACGGCGTGGGAGAGCCCAAGATCATCATTGTGTCCCTTAAGGTTCTGGACAGTCCAGCCATCTGTCAGAAACTCATGATCAAGAATGTGACAAGAGGAAATCTGAGCCTCAGCTGGGAGGCTCCTCTCATCGAAGGCGGTTCCCCTGTCACACATTACGTTGTTGAGAAGAAGGCGTCCACCATGAAGGCTTACCAGGTGATCAATACCCAGTGTACCAACACAACTTACAAGGTGACGGGCCTGGAGGAGGATATAGCTTACTTCTTCCGTGTGTCTGCTGAAAATGAGTACGGTGTTGGCGAGACATGCGAAACTACTGAACCTGTAAGAGCCACGGAAACTCCTGGAGCTGTTAAAAACCTGGTGATGGCGGATTCTACAAAGACCTCTGTTACCCTGCAGTGGACCAGACCTGACCACGATGGGGGCAGCTACATCACTGAATACATTATTGAGAAGAGATCCATTGAAGATCCTACCTGGACTCTGGGAGCAACATGCAAGCGCCTGAGCTGTGAAGTGACGGGACTCAAGGAGAAGGCTGAAATGGACTTCAGAGTGCTCGCCAAGAACGAGAAGGGCAACAGTGACTTCTCCCAGATTGGTCCAATCACAGTGAAGGACTTCATCATTCTGCCTGAAGCCAACCTTGTTGACTACCCTAACGGAGAGCTTGCTGTCCGTGTTGGTCAGAACATCCACATCGAGTTGCCCTTCAAGGGAAAACCATTGCCTTCAATCAGCTGGCTGAAAGATAACCAGCCACTGAAGGAAAGTGACAAGGTTCGCTTCAGGACTACTGACAACAAGACGGCGGTCACAGTCAGAGGAGTCAAGAAGGAGAATGCCGGCCAGTACACTTTGTGTCTGGACAACAGAACCGTCAAGAACTACTTTGACATCAATGTGATCACTCTTGGACCCCCCTCGGTGCCTGTTGGTCCCATCCGCTTCGATGAGATCAAAGCACAGAGTATCATAATTTCATGGGACGAGCCGAAGGAGAACGGCGGTGGTGAGATCACCTGCTACAGCGTGGAGAAACGTGAAACCGCCCAGGCCAACTGGAAGATGGTCTGCTCCAGTGTTGTCAGGCCCACTTTCAAAATTCCTAACCTGGTCAAGGGAACTCAGTACCAGTTCAGAGTCCGTGCAGAAAACAAGTATGGGATCAGTGTTTCTCTTGCATCCCTAGAAGTTGTTGCCCAGCACCAGTACAAACCTCCAGGACCCCCACCGAAACCAGTGGCCTTCAATGTCACCTGTGATGGTATGACCATCAGGTGGGACGCCCCAGAATTTGACGGAGGATCCCCCATTTTGGGATATCATGTTGAAAAGAAGGACAGGAACAGCCTCTTGTGGCAGAAGGTGAACTCCACCATCATCTCCAACAAAGAGTACAGGATAACTGGTCTCATTGAGGGTCTGGAGTACTCCTTCAGAGTCTATGCTGAGAACAACGCTGGACTCAGCCCTGTTAGTGAACAGAGCAAACATGCCCTCGCTATCGCCCCTGTTGGTAAGTACATGCAAAAAAGGACATCTTTATATGTTGGGGGATAGCTTTTGACTTACAGAAGCAACATAAACACTGAAAGCACATGTTGTTAAAGATCCTGAGTGTTTCTGCAATGATTGATTTTACATTCAAACATTATGAATAAAATGCTTCTTTCTCTTCTCAATTAGATCCACCTGGCAAACCTGTCTGCATTGATGTAACCAGAGACTCAGTCACCCTTAAGTGGGACATCCCTGAGAGGGATGGTGGCAGCAAAATTGTGGGCTACAGTGTGGAGAGGCGCCAAGGCAGAGGCAAATGGCTGCGATGCAACTTCACTGATGTCTGCGAGACCCAGCTCACTGTGACAAGTCTCTCCTCTGGAGACAGATTCGAGTTCAGAGTCATTGCCAGAAATGCTGTGGCCACAGTCAGTCCACCATCTAACTCCTCTGGATATATTATGACAAAGGATGAGAGCAGTAAGTCTTTTCCAATGATCATGAATAGAGGTTTCCTGACACCTCTATGATTGTACAGATTCCTAATTAGTTTGTTCTCTTTGTGTCTCCAGTCTCTCCAGACATTGAGTGGTCTGCAGACCAGGCGCTCACCCTGAAGGCTGGTGAGAACGTTCAGCTCAGCTGCAGCATCATTGGACGTCCCGTGCCCCAGGTTATCTGGTATAAGAATGGCAAAGAGATTGACAAGAGGACCATGTATGACATTGATATTACCTCCGACATTGGCACCAGCAGTCTTTTTATACGCGATGCTGACAGGAACCACCGTGGCATCTACACAATAGAGGCGAAAAACAGCTCCGGTTCCAAGAGAGCTGATGCCAACGTCCGAGTACAAGGTTCGTGAACACAGTTGATTATGTTACTATATCTGATATTGCATGATTCAATAATTGTCAAACCTATTTATACTATTAAACACGTTTTAACCTCTACAATCTCTTTCCCTGCAGATACCCCCGGGCCTGTTGAGGGTCCCATCCGTTTCACCGGCATCACGGCTGAGAAGTGCACCGTGTGGTGGAACCCGCCGGAGAACGATGGCTGTGCTGCCATCACCCACTATGTGGTGGAGAAGAGGGAGACGTCCAGGATCTCCTGGGCCATGATCACCTCCAAATGCGAAGCCTGTTCTTACAATGCTGTAAACCTCATCAAGGGCAATGAATACCAGTTCAGAATCTCTGCTGTCAACAAGTCTGGTGTTGGCAAACATCTGGACTCTGATCCCTTCATTGCACAGATGCAATATAGTAAGTCACTCATGGGTATTTTATCTCTGAAATATTGACCAAATACAAAACTAAATTACCCAATATACTTCACAATCTGCTTTATTCTCATGCCATATTTTCTGCTCTCTTCAGCTGTGCCGGATGCCCCTGGTACCCCAGATGCCACCCATGTGACTGGAAACAGCATCACCATGTGCTGGACGAGACCAAGGTCAGATGGAGGCAACGAGATTAAGCAGTACATCCTGGAGAGGAGAGAGAAAAAGAGCTTACGCTGGCTGAAGGTTTCCTCCAAGAGAACCATCACAGAGCTGAGACACCGTGTCACCAACCTCACCGAGGGCAACGAGTATGAATTCCGTGTCATGGCAGAAAATGGAGCTGGCATCGGACCGGCCAGCAGTACTTCCAGGCTCATCAAGTGCAGAGAACCAACAAGCGCTCCTAGCACACCCACATTGATCAAGGTAGGATTGCAGGAACATTGCAAAGAGAATAACCATTCATGAAAAGATTCAAATTCCCAGATCTTTTTTAACAGAATGTGACAATAAACGTTGGTCTTTTCTTGTTGATCAGGTCGCTGACTCCACCAAGAACTCTGTCACCCTGGAATGGACCAAGCCTGTCTTTGATGGCGGCTTGGAAGTCATCGGCTACAACATCGACATGTGCAAGGCCAGTCTGGAGGAGTGGCACAGAGTCAACAGCCAGATATGCATCCACACCAGTTACACTGCCAAGGGCCTGGTGCCTGGAGAGCTCTACAAGTTCAGGGTCAGCGCTCTGAACGGGGCCGGAGAGGGCGAATCCTCAGGGTTGCCGAATGCTGTTCAGGCTCTGGACAGACTCAGATCTCCTGAGATTGAACTGGATGCCAGCTTCAAGCAGACCCACATTGTGAAGAATGGCAGCACTGTCACCCTCCATGTTCCCTTCAAAGGAAAACCAGCGCCTCTTGCCACCTGGTCTAGGGTAGATGGGGAGCTGCCTGTCATGGCTGATGTTAACACCACAGAATGCAGCTCCATTCTGACCATTGAGAGCTGCACGAGGTACGAAGCCGGCAAATACACCCTGTCCCTGGAGAACAACAGCGGTCGCAAGTCCATCACCTTCACTGTCAAAGTGCAGGATACACCCGGACCTCCGGCAGCTATTACCTTCAAAGACGTAACACGCGGAGCCTTAACGGTTATGTGGGATGCCCCCACCAATGATGGCGGAGCCCGGGTCCACCACTACATCGTGGACAAGCGGGAGGCCAGCCGCCTGGCGTGGCAGGAGGTCAGCAGCAAGTCCTCTCGCCAGATGATCAGGGTCACAGGTCTGGATGTCGGTATACCATACGTGTTCAGGGTGATTGCTGTGAACCAGTACGGCCAGGGAGAACCTTTCGAGATGACAGAGCCCGTCATGGCCACAGAGGAACCTGCACCACCCAGGAGACTGGATGTAGTAGACACCACCAACTCCACAGCCTCCCTGGTGTGGCTGAAGCCCGAGCATGATGGAGGCAGCCGCATCAGAGGCTACATTGTTGAATTCAAAGCTAAAGGCAGTGACCACTGGAATGTGGGCGGAGAGACCAGATCTATGAAGATGCTGTTGGAGGGCCTGATTCAGAATACAGAGTACGACTTCAGAGTGAGTGCCAAGAACGATGCTGGAATCAGCGAGCCTCAGGGCACCTTCAGCTCCGTGGTCATCAAGGAGCCTCGCATCGAACCGACAGCCGACCTCAGCAGCATCACCAACCAGCTCATCACCTGCAAGATCTCCAACAACTTCACAATCAGCATCCCCATCAGCGGCAGGCCTGCACCCAAGGTCACCTGGAAACTGGAGGAGATGAAACTGAAGGAGTCTGACAGAGTCTGCATCACCACCACAAAGGAGATCACTACTTTGACGGTTAGAGACAGCAAGAGAAGCGACAGCGGCAAGTACTACCTGATCCTGGAGAATGTCGCCGGTGTGAAGACGTTCACAGTGACCGTGGTTGTCGTGGGCAGGCCGACTCCACCCACAGGCCCTGTGGTGATTTCTGAAGTCTCTTCAGAGTCCTGCAGCCTGTCCTGGTCCGAGCCAGCCGACGATGGCGGCACGGAAATCGGCAACTACATCGTGGAGAAACGGGAGTCCGGCTCCGCCTCCTGGCAAGTCGTAAACTCCAGTGTGAAGAGAACCACCATCAAAGTGACCAACCTCACCAAGTACATGGAGTACACCTTCAGGGTGTGCGCCGAGAACAAGTTTGGAGTCAGCAAGTCCACCGAGTCTGCTGCAGTGGTCATTGAGCATCCATTTGGTAAGTTCTGGTAGACAAAAGTAAATGAAAATACCTTTTTATTGGGTTTATTTTTATTGGCAGCTTGAACAAATCCAAACAATTACAAATTATTTTCACATGCAAATCAATTTCCATTGGATTCATCAACAAAGCAAAATGTTTGTACCCAAGCATGTACTTTACTTCAATTGGATGACATGAATCAAAGAAACAAAGGAAGAACTCCATATGATCTTAACCACCATTCTCCTCCACAGTTCCTCCAAGTCCTCCAACTCGTCCAGACGTGGTTTCCGTGTCTGCGAACGCCATCGGCATCAAATGGGACTTGCCCTATGACGACGGCGGCAGCAAGGTAACGGGCTACTGGATTGAGAAGAAGGAGAGGAACACCATCCTGTGGGTGAGGGAGAACAAGCTGCCCTGCCTGGAGTGCCACTACAAGGTGTCCAACCTGATCGAGGGCCTGGAGTACCAGTTCAGGGTCTACGCCATGAACATCTCCGGATTCAGCAAGGCCGGCGAGGCTTCCCGACCCGTGGTGGCCCTCAATCCTGTTGGTGAGGGAAACGTTAATGTCTTATCTACGTCAATGACAGGTCGTTCAGCATATGCAACAAAAGATTTGGTCAGCCAAGAGCTTCTATATCTGAAATAATGGGGAATTTGGGTATTACCAGTATGCATCTGACCTGCATTTAGTCGTCTCAGTACTCAATCACAACAAGTTGAATCTAATCTAATCATGAATCTTATCTTAAAGGCTTTGTAATTAAAGCTTAATAACCCCTCTTCTCCATCTCAGATCCTCCTGGTAAACCCGAGGTGACGGACATCACTCGCAACTCAGTGTCGCTGTGCTGGACCATCCCGTCCAACGACGGCGGCAGCAAGATCGTGGGCTACGTGGTGGAGAGGAAAGTCCACAGCACGGACGAGTGGGACGACAACCGCTGGCTCAAGTGCAACTACACCACCATCAGTGAGAACTACTTCACCGTCACCAACCTGGGAGAGGGAGAGACCTTCGAGTACCGGGTCATTGCCAAGAATGCCGCCGGCGTCCACAGCGCAGCCTCCGAGATCACCGGACCGGTCACATGCAAGGATGAATACTGTAAGTACAAGAGTTATAAAACCTTTAGGTTCTCATTGTTTAAGCACCCAGGAGCATAAACTAAAGACTAATCATTGATGCAGCAGCTATGATGTTAGCATAGCTCTCAACAAACCAAACTCTATTCAGAAAACAAGCATTTTAAAAGTTGTTGTGTACAAATCACCATCATAATTAAGTGAATTTTGCATTATTTTGATCTGGTTTTTGTAAATAAATCACAGCAAAATGTTATTTTTTCCTCCAACTCCTGATTATATTGCAGCATTATTGGAATAACTCTAATTGTTGCTTCTGCTGCAGCTCCTCCTAAAGCTGAGCTGGATAGTAAGCTGGTGGGTGAGACCGTCATCATCAACGCCGGCTCAGACCTGGTTCTGGACGGCGCCGTGGGCGGGAAACCCGAGCCCACCGTGTACTGGTCCAAGGGCGACAAGATCCTGGAGCTTGGAGAGAAATACTCCCTGACCTACACCGCCACCAGAGCCATGGCCGTCATCAAGAGCTGCGACCGCTACGACACGGGCAAATACGTCCTGACCGCGAAGAACGCCAATGGACTGAAGACCGCCGTCGTCAACGTCAAAGTCCTGGGTGAGCAGACGGGAAATTACGTTGAAATGAACTGTAAACATTATTAAATAACTCTGTTGACTCCTAACGATCAGATTCAGATTAAAAATACAAAATATAATCAACACATCCTTTATCATGTACTATTAGAGGTAAATATATACTTAATTCATCATTTAGAGAAACTACAAACAGGTAGGTCATTAGTGCATCACATATATAATCCTTTAACAAAATGCGTTATCGTGCATTATGAGGTCCTTTACTTTTAGTACTTTAAGTTCTCTCTGATGCTAATTAGGGTTCCTGCAAATCCATAAAAAGGCTTAAAAGGTTCAAACAAACATTTCATTCTTAATATAATCGCCTTAATGAGTATCAAAATGCCTTCAAGTCTTAAAAAGGATGAAACTTGGAAAGTATGATTTAATAAGTCTAAATCTTGAGTCTAACTCACTTGAGTGTTTCTAATCTTCGGCGTTCCTACCTGTACTCTGTCCTCCGCTGAGTAGCAGTAGATATATGAACTGAACTCTGATTTAACTCCGTCCCTCCCCCTGCAGACACCCCCGGAGCTCCGGCCGATAGCATCACCATCAGCAGGGTGACGGAGGAGAAGTGCTCCGTGTCCTGGAAGATTCCCCTGGAGGACGGCGGAGACATCGTCACGCACTACATCGTGGAGCGCCGCGAAACCAGCCGCCTCAACTGGGTCCTCATGGAGACGGAGTGCAAGACGCTGGCCTGCGTCAGCAGCCACCTCATCAAGAACAACGAGTACGTGTTCAGGGTCCGCGGAGTCAACAAGTTCGGAGTCGGAGTTCCTCTGGAGTCCGAGTCCGTCCGAGCCAGGAACGCTTACAGTAAGTGAACTCTTTTTAGTGACTGTACCAGAGGGTATGCACTAGATGCTACAACTGTATTATCCCGGTGGAATGGGGTTTTTGTGACAAAAACAAGGTAAATGATTGAAATAAGATGGTGGAAAATATCAGGTTTGGAAAACAGACATAGAAGGACACGGGTCATTGAAAGTGCTTGAATTTGGGGGAATCTGGCCTGGAAAGGGTCTTGAATTTGGAGTTTGAGAAGGTCTGGAAACCCTGCAGAATGAATGAATACACAGGGAGTGATCATTCTAACTTTAAGTGGAACATAAAACATAGTAAATCATTTCCCAATGTGGGATCATTATGTCTCTTGCATTCATACCTTCCAGTTATTTAGGAATGAATGTTTTTGATTCATCTTCATTTAATCGGTTTAAGAATATAAAACTTAAAAGTTGAGATTAATATTTTAAAATATTAGCAAAAAAACAGCAAAATGTTTTCATATGATTTCTGAATTCCAGGTTTCAAAAAGTAAAATGCTCTCATGTTTAATCCCACACGAAATGCATGGACAGGAAGTAGATGTGTGGTTTCCATGACTCTGACCCCCCCCCCCCCCCCCCCCTCTCCCTGCAGCCATCACGTCTCAGCCGGGCACTCCGGAGGTGACGGCAGTGGCCAAAGAGCACGTGGTCATCGAGTGGCTGAAGCCCGAGACGGACGGAGGCAGCGAGATCAAGACGTACCTGGTGGACAAGCGAGAGAAGAGCAGCACCAGGTGGACACGGGTGAACAAGAACTACACGATCTACGACACCCGTCTGAAGATCGCCGGGCTGCTGGAGGGCAGCGAGTACCAGTTCAGGGTGACGGCCGTCAACGCTGCTGGAGACAGCACGCCGAGCGACGCCTCGCCCTACATGCTCTGCAAAGACCCCACATGTAAGCGAGAATAGAATCATTTCTTTCATTGTACAATGAAAGAAAGAAAAGCTTCTGCCTTTCAAAAGCTGCCGTCAAAACAAAAACATCACAACATACGACAACAAATACACGCATCCATTTATCTCTAGTATTTGATGTTTTGTCTTTATGTCTTTTTATGCTGCTGCAATGCAAACATGTCCCAAATTAGGATCAACAAAGTACTTGTTATCTAATCTTATCTTGTGAAAAGCTTTATTGATGGCTCTGCTTCCCCACAGACACGCCGGCTACTCCCTCCATGCCTCGCATCACGGACACCACGAAGCACAGCATCAGCATGAAGTGGACGCGCCCGATGTACGACGGCGGCAGCGACGTCAGCGGCTACGTGGTGGAGATCCTGGAGGAAGGGACGGAGCAGTGGTACCGCGCCACCGCCAAGGCCCTGAAGACCAATGAGTACGTGGCCGCCGGACTCACCTCCAACAAGAGGTACCGCTTCAGAGTCGCCGCCATCAACAGCAAGGGAACCGGAGAGTTCAGCGAGGCCAGCGCCGAGGTGGAGCCGCTGGAGAGGATCGGTGAGTCAGGGAGGAAATTACACAACAATAAAGATTCTTCTTCATCAGTCTTCACATTACAACACAAAGACACTTCAAACAGAAGTCGACACCGTCCGTTTTGCACATTTCACTTCTCCGAGCAAATGAAGTAGCTAAAAGCAAATTCGTGGCTCTCATCATTTTGTTAAGAGTTATTATTAAACATCGTATGGTTAACCTTGCCGTTTCTCTGGAAGTGTGAGGTTGATAGAGCCGGTGACTCTTAGCAATGTAACGGCATTAACGGTCTTATCGGAAGTACAAACAGTAAGACAAGTGGAAATGCCCAAGAGCACTAGGATACTTTATTATTAATGACTTCCTCAATCTTCTGCAGAGATCCCGGACCTGGAGCTGTCGGACGACCTGAAGAAGACGGTGTGTCTGCGTGCCGGTGGGACGCTGCGCCTAGTGGTGTTCGTCAGCGGCCGCCCCGCCCCGGTGATTTCCTGGAGGAAGACGGGGGTTGAGCTGCAGAACCGTGGACACATCGAGAACACGGAAAGCTACACCGCCCTGACGGTGGAGAAGGTCAACCGCTACGACTCCGGGAAATACATCGTGGAGGCGGAGAACCCGTCGGGAAAGAAGAGCGTCGTCGTCCTCGTCAAAGTCTACGGTACGACACAGAGAGGCGTCCCACAGGGAGACGTCCCACAGGGAGACGTCCCACAGGGAGACGTCCCACAGAGAGGCGTCCCACAGAGAGGCGTCCCACAGGGAGACGTCCCACAGGGAGACGTCCCACAGGGAGACGTGGAGAACAAATACCAAAATACCAGCTTCATGTTATTCTGGGTTTAATTAACTTTTGAAACGGGAAGTTGCTGAGAAATGAAAAGACATCTAGCCGTAAGATGACTTATTGTGTTTCTGTAGTCCACAGCTACTGGAGTAGACCCCGGAATCAGAATCTTTTTAAAAAGGAATATTGAGATCCTGGAAGAGTCACACCTTAAATAAACAATGCATGTAATAAAAAGTCAAATCAATCTTCCTAAAGACTGTAACCTAACATCTCCTCCCCCCTCCTGCAGACACGCCCGGCCCCCCCACCTCTGTGAACGTGAAGGACTACACCAAGGAGTCGGTGGTGATCACCTGGGACGTTCCCAGCAGGGACGGCGGCGCCCACGTCAGCAACTACATCGTGGAGAAGCGCGAGGCCAGCATGAAGTCTTACAAGACGGTCACCACGGAGTGCAGGAAAACGCTGCTCCGCATCACCGGGGTGGAGGAGGGCGTGCACTACTTCTTCAGAGTGCTGCCGGAGAACATCTACGGCGTGGGCGAGGCCTGCGAGACCCTGGAGGCGGTGCTGGTGTGCGAGGTGCCGTCGGTGCCGCTCGACCTGCAGCTGGTGAACGTCACCAAGTCGTCGGCCACGCTGCGCTGGGAGCGGCCGCTGCACGACGGAGGAAGCCGCATCAACGGCTTCTCCATCGAGGCGTGCAAGGTGGGATCGGAGAGGTGGACCGTGGTGGCCTCCGTGAAGGCGTCGGCGTCTCAGCACACCGTCACCGCGCTCACAGAGAACGACCAGTACCTGTTCAGGGTCAGAGCCACTAACAGCAGGGGGGCCAGTGAGCCCATGGACACCGTCACCCCCGTCACCATCCAGGACATCAAGGGTGAGACATCTCATTACAGAACTGGGACGTGGCTATAACCTGGAAAAAGCTTAAATAGTATTAAAAGTGATTTCATTAATCGGTTCAAATGTCTTGAATCAAATTATTAATACATTGGAGCTAGGGTTTCTAAGGTTATTTCATTGTTGTGAAATAGCTAAATAATGAGTATTATCTATTGTTTTCTATTCATTGCTTCTGTCTTTAACGTTACGCAGGTTTCGACTTGTACATTTTATTTTGATTAGCATTTTAAAAAGTTTTAAATATAATGTAATCTAGACTGTAGGAATACTGACTCAGCAAGAACCTGATCCTTTTACCAACTTTCGTTTTTTTAATACTGTTTTACATTTTTAAAGAAAACTGAAGCACATTTTTCCTTTTTGTTGACACCCAAAACATTTTCAGTTTTTGGAAATGGACAATTAGTAGTTGGGACTGCAAGACAAACAAATACAATATTTGGATGATATGGATATTTATATTCTAGTTATATATTTACAACCACAAAAAAAGTCCAACTCCTGGCCTTGCACGTCTTTGCTGCACCACCATCCCTAAAGATAGACAAGCATCCCAGAGATAGCTGACTGTAACATGCCCCCCTCTCTCTTTGTGTTTAGTGATGCCAAAGATCGACATGACCAGCATCCCTCAGAAGATCGTGTACGTTCACCGGGGGAAACCCATCGAGCTGAACCTGCCCGTGGTGGCCCAGCCGCTGCCCGTCTGCTCCTGGTCCTTCTCCGGAGAGAAGCTGAAGGACAGCCTCGACCGCATCAAGATCGACGGCAGCCGGCTAACGGTGCGCGACACGACCATCAACGACACTGGGGACTACGCCCTGGAGGTGAAGAACGCCCTGGGCAAAGCCAGAGAGGTCATCAAGGTCATCATCCTCGGTGAGAGACACTGAATATCAAAATATATCTTTAGTGGCAGAGATTTAGATTTACTAAATTAATTCTTTTTTTATTTCGTGTCTCCAAACATTTATATACTAATTTATATATGTGGCCACAAAAACTCAATTGTATTTTTATTATTAAATGACGTGCAAATCATTAAATATCCCATTCCTCCGGTGTCCCCTCAGATAAGCCCGGCGTCCCGGTGGGCCCGGTCCGGATCGAGGAGGTGGACGGGCTGTCGGTGACGACCAGCTGGGATCCTCCGGAGAAAGACGGCGGAGCCAACGTGACGGGCTACGTGGTGGAGCAGCGCGACGCCCACCGGCCCGGCTGGTTCACCGTGTCCGAGTCCGTGACCCGGCCCTGCTACAAGTTCTCCCGCCTCTCCGAGGGAACCGAGTACGTGTTCCGCGTCGCCGCCATGAACCGCTTCGGAGTCGGAAGGTTCCTGCAGTCGGAGGTGGTCGAGAACAAGAGCCCCAAGAGTGAGTCCATCTCAATCTTTCCTCCTGGAATAAACGTCTAATTGAGGACTTCCTGTTGGAGTCGAGGGTTATTTATCCACATCCTGCAACACGGGACTGTATTTTCTTTAGATACTCAAGAGAAAACAACAAATAAACACTCAAGAAGAACAACAACAACAACAACAACAACAACCAGTTAGCAGTTCAAACCTTTTTGAGATACGTTTTTTAATCATGGTTTTAAGTAAACGTACAGGTACAAAAAGGGAGTATTTTGTATAAATGGCTTCAAATCCAGCATGCAGGATGTTACGCTTTATCCACCCAACAACAGCAAAGCTTCACAGTTAAGATACAAGCGTTTCGGGACAGTTTTCCTCCTGCCTGCGGTCCTTTATTAATGAAGTTCACCTTGATTTAAATGCAAACCATAATAAATGAAGGGAAAATGACAGCAGTTAAATGAGTCCTTTGCAATCACAGTTTGAATTTGAAGTCTCTCTATAACTGTTTGTTTAAAGGTTTAGCAGATTTCCAAATGACAGTTTTAAACCACGACTTTGAGCTTGAACTAAACCCCTGTTCCCCCCACAGCGATCCCCGGCGCCCCCAGCCAGCCGGAGGTCCTGGATGTGACCCACGAGGGCATGACGCTCACGTGGTTCGCCCCCGAGGACAACGGCGGCTCCACCATCGCCGGATACATCATCGAGCGCAAGGAGGCGCAGTCGGAGCGCTGGATGAAGATCAGCAAGAACCCGGTCACCATGACCCGGTTCCGCTCCTCCGCGCTCATCGAGGGCCAGGAGTACGAGCACCGCGTCACCGCCATCAACTCCAGGGGCGAGGGGAAGCACAGCGAGGCCTCCGAGATCACCGTGGCCATGGACCCCATTGGTACGGGAAGAAATCAGCATCATTTACTTCTTGTTTTATAACTAGAGTTTTTCCATACGCAGGTTAAAATGCATTAACAATCTGAAAGACAACTAAACATTACAAAAATCTAGTTATTTAACATTTAGACTTGGCTAGACATGCTGCATTTTAGGATAATATATAGTATATACCCTCTAATGCCTCAGTGTATTAGCAGTATTCTCCCCACCTGGGTTACTATGTGAATACCCTCTAATGCCTCAGTGTATTAGCAGTATTCTCCTCACCTGGGTTACTATGTAAATACCCTCTAATGCCTCAGTGTATTAGCAGTATTCTCCTCACCTGGGTTACTATGTAAATACCCTCTAATGCCTCAGTGTATTAGCAGTATTCTCCCCACCTGGGTTACTATGTGAATACCCTCTAATGCCTCAGTGTATTAGCAGTCTTCTCCCCACCTGGGTTACTATGTAAATACCCTCTAATGCCTCAGTGTATTAGCAGTATTCTCCTCACCTGGGTTACTATGTAAATACCCTCTAATGCCTCAGTGTATTAACAGTATTCTCCCCACCTGGGTTACTATGTAAATACCCTCTAATGCCTCAGTGTATTAGCAGTATTCTCCCCACCTGGGTTACTATGTAAATACCCTCTAATGCCTCAGTGTATTAGCAGTATTCTCCCCACCTGGGTTACTATGTAAATACCCTCTAATGCCTCAGTGTATTAGCAGTATTCTCCTCACCTGGGTTACTATGTAAATACCCTCTAATGCCTCAGTGTATTAGCAGTCTTCTCCCCACCTGGGTTACTATGTAAATACCCTCTAATGCCTCAGTGTATTAGCAGTATTCTCCTCACCTGGGTTACTATGTAAATACCCTCTAATGCCTCAGTGTATTAGCAGTATTCTCCTCACCTGGGTTACTATGTAAATACCCTCTAATGCCTCAGTGTATTAACAGTATTCTCCTCACCTGGGTTACTATGTAAATACCCTCTAATGCCTCAGTGTATTAGCAGTATTCTCCCCACCTGGGTTACTATGTAAATACCCTCTAATGCCTCAGTGTATTAGCAGTATTCTCCCCACCTGGGTTACTATGTAAATACCCTCTAATGCCTCAGTGTATTAGCAGTATTCTCCTCACCTGGGTTACTATGTAAATACCCTCTAATGCCTCAGTGTAGCAGTATTCTCCCCACCTGGGTTACTATGTAAATACCCTCTAAGGCCTCAGTGTATTAGCAGTATTCTCCCCACCTGGGTTACTATGTAAATACCCTCTAATGCCTCAGTGTATTAGCAGTATTCTCCTCACCTGGGTTACTATGTAAATACCCTCTAATGCCTCAGTGTATTAGCAGTATTCTCCTCACCTGGGTTACTATGTAAATACCCTCTAATGCCTCAGTGTATTAGCAGTATTCTCCCCACCTGGGTTACTATGTGAATACCCTCTAATGCCTCAGTGTATTAGCAGTATTCTCCCCACCTGGGTTACTATGTAAATACCCTCTAATGCCTCAGTGTATTAGCAGTATTCTCCTCACCTGGGTTACTATGTAAATACCCTCTAATGCCTCAGTGTATTAACAGTATTCTCCCCACCTGGGTTACTATGTAAATACCCTCTAATGCCTCAGTGTATTAGCAGTATTCTCCCCACCTGGGTTACTATGTAAATACCCTCTAATGCCTCAGTGTATTAGCAGTATTCTCCCCACCTGGGTTACTATGTAAATACCCTCTAATGCCTCAGTGTATTAGCAGTATTCTCCTCACCTGGGTTACTATGTAAATACCCTCTAATGCCTCAGTGTATTAGCAGTATTCTCCTCACCTGGGTTACTATGTAAATACCCTCTAATGCCTCAGTGTATTAGCAGTATTCTCCTCACCTGGGTTACTATGTAAATACCCTCTAATGCCTCAGTGTATTAACAGTATTCTCCTCACCTGGGTTACTATGTAAATACCCTCTAATGCCTCAGTGTATTAGCAGTATTCTCCTCACCTGGGTTACTATGTAAATACCCTCTAATGCCTCAGTGTATTAGCAGTATTTTCCCCACCTGGGTTACTATGTAAATACCCTCTAATGCCTCAGTGTATTAGCAGTATTCTCCTCACCTGGGTTACTATGTAAATACCCTATAATGCCTCAGTGTAGCAGTATTCTCCCCACCTGGGTTACTATGTAAATACCCTCTAATGCCTCAGTGTATTAGCAGTATTCTCCTCACCTGGGTTACTATGTAAATACCCTCTAATGCCTCAGTGTATTAGCAGTATTCTCCCCACCTGGGTTACTATGTAAATACCCTCTAATGCCTCAGTGTAGCAGTATTCTCCTCACCTGGGTTACTATGTAAATACCCTCTAATGCCTCAGTGTATTAGCAGTATTTTCCCCACCTGGGTTACTATGTAAATACCCTCTAATGCCTCAGTGTATTAGCAGTATTCTCCCCACCTGGGTTACTATGTAAATACCCTATAATGCCTCAGTGTATTAGCAGTATTCTCCCCACCTGGGTTACTATGTAAATACCCTCTAATGCCTCAGTGTATTAGCAGTATTCTCCTCACCTGGGTTACTATGTAAATACCCTCTAATGCCTCAGTGTATTAGCAGTATTCTCCTCACCTGGGTTACTATGTAAATACCCTCTAATGCCTCAGTGTATTAGCAGTATTCTCCTCACCTGGGTTACTATGTAAATACCCTCTAATGCCTCAGTGTATTAACAGTCTTCTCCTCACCTGGGTTACTATGTAAATACCCTCTAATGCCTCAGTGTATTAGCAGTATTCTCCTCACCTGGGTTACTATGTAAATACCCTCTAATGCCTCAGTGTATTAGCAGTCTTCTCCTCACCTGGGTTACTATGTAAATACCCTCTAATGCCTCAGTGTATTAACAGTCTTCTCCTCACCTGGGTTACTATGTAAATACCCTATAATGCCTCAGTGTATTAGCAGTATTCTCCCCACCTGGGTTACTATGTAAATACCCTCTAATGCCTCAGTGTATTAGCAGTATTCTCCTCACCTGGGTTACTATGTAAATACCCTCTAATGCCTCAGTGTATTAACAGTCTTCTCCTCACCTGGGTTACTATGTAAATACCCTCTAATGCCTCAGTGTATTAGCAGTATTCTCCTCACCTGGGTTACTATGTAAATACCCTCTAATGCCTCAGTGTATTAACAGTCTTCTCCTCACCTGGGTTACTATGTAAATACCCTATAATGCCTCAGTGTATTAGCAGTATTCTCCCCACCTGGGTTACTATGTAAATACCCTCTAATGCCTCAGTGTATTAGCAGTATTCTCCCCACCTGGGTTACTATGTAAATACCCTCTAATGCCTCAGTGTATTAGCAGTATTCTCCTCACCTGGGTTACTATGTAAATACCCTCTAATGCCTCAGTGTATTAGCAGTATTCTCCTCACCTGGGTTACTATGTAAATACCCTCTAATGCCTCAGTGTATTAACAGTCTTCTCTGTGTTTCAGACCCCCCTGGAGCTCCTCTTAGCCCCACCGTCACAGACACCACCCGCTCCTCGGTGTCTCTGGCCTGGCAGCCGCCGGAGGAGGAGGGCGGCGCCGCCGTCACCGGGTACTTCATCGAGATGCAGAAGGTGGACCAGGTGGAGTGGACCCTGTGCAACACCACTCCCACCAAGATCTGCGAGTACACCCTCACTCACATGCCTCAGAGCGCCGAGTACAAGTTCAGAGTCATCGCCTGCAACCCTGGAGGAACCGGGGAGGCAGCCGAGGTGCCGGGGGTGGTGAAGGTCCAGGAGATGCTGGGTGAGTGGAGCCCAGATCCATGAACATGAAAGGATTCAATCCATTCTACAATATGCTAAAGAAAAACATGGAATCTACTTTATTTTTTGAAATAGTTTTATCCTTTTTTTGAATTTTTGTCTGTAAAAAAAAAAAAATCATCAGATATTTAACTTTTCTTTAGTTTAGTAACTATTACGACTTGTTCGACTTCCCTTTTTCCCCCAAAATATTACATAACAGTTTCAGATTTAACCTTCCTTAGTATTTCTCTATATATTACAACTTTAAAAAAAATGTTATACAATTCTTTCTGTTTAAAATGTTTGCCTTTGCTAACATTTCTTTACCTCCAGTGCCCCTCTGTAGAAACCTCTGACTCTAACATGTCAACAACATGAATATTCATCACCCTGAGACATTGCCTCATTTGTAAACGTACGTGTAATCCGTGTTCCCTGCAGGCTACCCCGACTACGAGCTGGATGCTAAGTACGAGGAGGGCTACGTGGTGCGGCAGGGCGGCGTCATCCGCCTGTCCGTGCCCATCAGAGGGAAACCCATCCCGTCCTGCAAGTGGACGAAGGACGGCCGCGACATCGCCCACCGCGCCATGATCGCCTCCAACGACGACGTCACCGAGCTGGTGATCAAAGAGGCGCACAAAGACGACACGGGCTCCTACGACCTGGTGCTGGAGAACAAGTGCGGCAAGAAGGCCCTCTACATCAAGGTGAGGGGGCACACTGACTCTGGGGGGGGGGCTACAGGGTTATTATGGGATATATCGCCCCTAATTATTACCAACTATAGTCCCACATTGTGAAGAACCCCCAAACCAACTTCATCCCTGACATTTACTCCATTTTAGGATACAACCCAAACAAATGCTAACTATTTCCTAAATTATAACCAAATATAATTAAAGCCAATTCATCACCAGATGTATAGAAAGATATAACCCCGAAATAAAACCAACTAATTCCCTAAATAATAACCAATTCTAACGTTATCTATAAAGGAGAAAACCCCAACTAAAACTACAACCAAAAATATTCCAATTTAGAGAAAATGTATAACCCCAAATTAAACCAAATATATATTCCTAGATTATCGTTAATTATCCAAAATGATCGTCTCTGGTGTTTATTTGATTCTTTTTATTTTCATTTATTTGAAACCATCACTGTTTAGGTACAGTGTGAGGCCTTTACACGCCACGGGGAGGGGGGGCGGATAAATGACATACATTTCATTCACACCCATTCATACAGAGCAGTACCATTTGCTCTAGGACTTAACATTCACACACATTCACACACCGTTGGCCATCAGGAGCAACTCATGGTTAAGTGTCTTCCCCAAGGATACATCGACACCCACAACCTTCTGGTGGAAAGACGACCGCACTCCCTCGCAGCCACAGTCGCCCTGTAGATGTTATTGAACGTTTCCCCCCCTCCCCCCCTCAGGTGAAGGTGATCGGCCGCCCCGATGTTCCTGAAGGTCCTCTGGAGTACGACGACATCCAGGTGCGCTCAATGCGCGTCAGCTGGAGGCCGCCTTCAGATGACGGAGGATCCGACATCCTGGGCTACGTGGTGGAGAGGAGGGAGGTGCCGAAGGCCGCCTGGTGCACCGTGGACTCCCGGGTCACCGAGACCTCTCTGGTGGTGAAGGGTCTGAAGGAGAACGTGCAGTACCACTTCAGGATCTCTGCGGAGAACCAGTTCGGCATCAGCAGGTGTCTGAAGTCTGAGGAGGCCGTCACGCCCAAAACGCCTCTGTGTGAGTATCTGTTCAGATTCATCTTTAGTCGCCATGTAATCCTTACTTTGTACTTCCCTGTCTTCCACACATCTGTAAACACTTTATGATGAATTATTGTAATAAAGTTGTACAGGAAAGCTTCATTTCTAATGTAAAAGCTCCAATAATTCAGGTCCCTTTTTTATATTTGGACAGATATCTTGAGTTATAAGTTGATAAAAAACAAATGTTTTGACAAAATAAATGCTCAGCTGTTCTTAAAGATTTCACTCACACCTAATATCCCCCTCCAGGCCCACCAGAGCCCCCCAGCAACCCCCCGGAGATCATGGAGGTCACCAAGACCACGGTGGCCCTGTCCTGGGCTCGGCCGAGGGACGACGGCGGCTCCAGAGTCACCGGCTACTACGTGGAGAGGAGGGAGGTGTCCACGGAGAAGTGGGTCCGCCACAACAAGACCCACATCACCACCACCATGTACAACGTCTCCGGACTCATCCCCGACGCAGAGTACATGTTCAGGGTGGTCGCGCAGAACGACATCGGCAAGAGCGAGGCCGGACCCCCCTCGGAGTCCGTGGTCTGCAAGGATCCATTCGGTGAGACCACGGGACGGGGGGTGTTTCTGCAGGAATACTTTTATATGCTTTACATTCAAAACATGGTCCTGAAAACAGTATTCTTCCTAAGCAAAATGTGTTCCTGCAGGAATCCACTAAGATTCGTCTTTGTGCAACACCTGAGAGAAATCTTCCTATTCTTATTTTATTTCTTATTTACAGATGTATTAAATTGTGACAGAATACATAATATTAACGTCACGCTTGTGGAAGAAAATCTTTCTTTATTTAAGAGAAAACTTGCAGAGTTTAGAATCAAAGGTCTATTTGCTGGATTGCAATCAAGGGCAGACCATTTCTCAGAATGTTCCCACAAATCCTGGTTTTTTCTTAATCACATAAAGTATATAAGGTATTGGAAAATGGCATATTTCCAGTATGGGCAACCATAAGCTACAGTTACTCTAAGGCTGTGTTTTGTGTTTATGTTCATTTAAGTGGAATCGTGGGTTTCTGTAGAACTGGTTTTACATACAAGTCTTTCCATGAGTTCTAATCTCCTCCCCTCGGTCTCCCTGCAGACAAACCCAGCCAGCCCGGTGAGATCGACATCATCTCCATCACCAAAGACTGCATCACCATCCACTGGCTGCGGCCCGAGCTCGACGGAGGCAAAGAGATCCTCGGCTACTGGATCGAGTTCAGGGAGGCCGGAGAGAGCGCCTGGAAGAAATGCACCAAGGAGCGCTCCAAGGACCGGCAGTTCACCATGGGCGGCCTGATGGAGGCCACCGAGTACGAGTTCAGGATCTTCGCCGAGAACGAGACCGGACTCAGCCGACCCCGCCGCACGCCCATGGGCATCAAGACCAAACTGAGCGGTGAGCGGACGCAGGATTCAGGAGCTTTTATGAGATTTCTAGGCCCCTAAAATATTGTTTGCTAATGTTTTGAAAGTTTATTTTGTTCAGAAATGAAAATACCATCTGGAAAAGTAAATACAGCAAAGATAAATCGGCCTGTAATCCTGGGGTAATTATGTGAGCGAGCTTAGTGTGCTGAATCACTGTGCAGAGATGATCAATATGGGCTAGCTAGTCAATAAACAATATTATTTAAATATCTTAGTACTTTATGCACCAAATGCACCAATTTAGGCCACCTTACACTGTATTGTTTGCCGAGACATACTTTTTATAAATATCAGTCAGGGTCCCTGATTTTAAAGGGTATTCAGCCCTAACAACGTTAAAGGCCACTGCTTTAAAACATGCTCATTAGTGAGTTCATTCCAGTGCTGTAATCTGTGAATTCTCTCACAGAAACTAAATAAACCCCACAAGCAGTGTGTGATGCGTCCTGGTTGTTTGACAGTAAATAATGTGCATATTAAAATGGTTTTATAGTCATTTAAGAATGGAAACATACCGATTGTAAACGTTTTATATTTAATTGAATATTTTCTGATGCTCCTGCAGTTGGTGAGGCTCCCGCTCTGAAGGAACTGATGGAAGACGTCACCACGAATCTCGGGGAATCCGGCACTCTGACCTGCGCCATCGTCGGCCGCCCGCTGCCCGAGATCAAGTGGTACCGTTACGGCAGGGAGCTGATCCAGAGCCGCAAGTACAAGATGAGCTCGGACGGCAGGAACCACTCAATTAGCGTCCTGACAGACGAGCAGGAGGACGAGGGCGTTTACACCTGCCGCGCCGTCAACGAGGCCGGCGAGGTCGAGACCAGCGGAAAGCTGCGCCTTCAAGCAGCGCCGCAGTTCCACCCCGGCTTCCCTCTGAAGGAGAAGTACTACGCCGGCGCAGGAACCAGCCTCCGCCTCCACGTGGTCTACATCGGACGTCCCATCCCTCAGATCATGTGGTTCTATGACAAGAAGCCTCTGAACACATCGGAGAACGTGATCATTGAGAACACGGAGAGCTACACCCACCTGGTGGTGAGGAACGTGCAGAGGAAGACCAACGCCGGCCGCTACAAGGTGCAGCTCAGCAACGTGTACGGCGCAGTCGACACCTCGCTGCGCGTGGAGATCCAAGGTAACAACACACCACTGAGAGTCTAAATATGAAATAGTTTAGTCTTCAAGTGAAAACAGATTAGAATGAGTCGATTTAAATAAGTTGGTTTAGGGCAGGCTATGCATGTTGGGGGTTCAAAGACATGAAGTCCCAACATAATGTTTGAAGGTGTGAATTTAAAATAAATGTTGATTGGTCTTGTCCAATTTTAGACATTGGTCGAAAAACGTGCATTATTGACAAAAGATGTACTGTAATATTGTATTTTCTTAACAGCAGTCTATCTAAACTCATAAGTATACCCCTGACTGAGCAGTTTTTAATTTAAATATATTTCAATGCATTCCCACAGATAAACCATGCATCCCTGAGGGCCCTCTGGTTGTTGAAGCCCTGCTGAAGAGCTCCATGGTCATCAGCTGGAAGGCTCCCAAGGACGACGGAGGCTCCATGATCACCAACTACATCGTGGAGAAACGTGAGGCCAAGGAAGGTGAGGTGTGGAACCTGGTGTCCTCCTCTGTCTCTGGCACCACCTGCCGAGTCCCCAACCTGATAGAAAACGCCGGATACTACTTTAGAGTCTCTGCGCAGAACCAGTATGGAGTCAGCGAGTCTCTGGAGATCCAATCTGTGGTTATCGTCAAGAGTCCATTTGGTGAGTCCACACATATTTGGTTTGCTTTCTGCTGCATTGCAGAGACTATCTTAACCGTTAATGTGGAGCACTATTATAACATCCCCTGTGTGTTTCCTAGAAAAACCTGGCATCCCACAGCAGCCGTTCATCATGAGCTCCACCAAAGACTCCTGCCTCGTCTGCTGGAAGCCTCCAAGCAGCGACGGCGGCGCTAAAGTCTCCAGCTACTACCTGGAGAAACGCGAGAAGAAACAGAACAAGTGGATGTCCGTCACTAGCAAGAAGATCCAGGAGACCAGCTTCGAGGTCAAGGCCTTGATCGAGGGCTTCGAGTACGAGTTCCGTGTCAAGTGCGAGAACTTGGGCGGCGAGAGCGACTGGAGCGAGATCTCAGCGCCAATCACCCCCAAGTCCGAACAATCTCCTCGTGCTCCCGCCTTCAGAGAGGAGATCCGGGACATGACAGCCAAATACAAGGCCAATGCCACATTCGTCACCAAGGTACTTTATTTAAACTACACAGCATTTGCTTTTAGGAATACACTAGCGGCTGGATTTGATATAAAGGATCCTGTTTAAATGTCACAGTGTTGGTAAAATGTGCGTATGAAATAAAGAGTACCATCAGTGGCAACCATGTTGGACATTACAATAATTGCTTGGTTTCTCCTAATACATCATGATATAAAGCCAATTATGTATGTATTATCTATAATACTTCTAAAAAACACTCAAGCAGTTTCAATCAATTTCCTCAGTGACTTAGTTGCAACATCCACATTTGAGGGACCATCATAGCTAACTTTGTTATTTCCCAATGACCAGGTGGTGGGACATCCCAAGCCTCTGGTGAAATGGTATCGCAGTGGAAAGGAGATCGAGGCTGATGGAACAAAAATTAAAGCCCAGGAGTTCAAGGGAGGCTACTTCCAACTGGTGATCATTGCCGCTGATGAGTGCGACGCCACCGTTTACCAAGTCAGAGCAACCAACTCCTCTGGATCCATCTCTACCACCGCAAACCTGGAGGTGGAAGGTAAGGATAGAGATTTGTGTTGCAAAAATATAAATCCTTCATGTTTTCTACAATCTATTAAGTGAAAAACAGTATACAACTAATGTCATATATATTTTTTATATTCCAGTTCCTGCCAAGATCCACCTTCCCAAGGAGCTCCAGGGAATGGGTGCAGTCAATGCTGCCCGTGGTGATAATGTCACCATCAAGATCCCCATCTCTGGCAAACCTGAGCCAGCAATCATTTGGCAGAAGGGTCAGGAGATCCTGTCCAACTCTCCATATCACCAAGTCATCACCACCAGGTCCTTCACCTCGCTGGTGTTCCAGAAGGGAATGGAGAGGAAGGATACCGGCTACTACATCCTAACCGCAAAGAACAGGTTCGGAACAGACAAGCAAACCATTGAGGTGAACGTGGCCGACATACCTGAACCACCAAAGGGACTGGTTGTCAGCGAAATCTCTCGAGACTCCATCACCTTGGCCTGGCAGCCACCTGCAAACGATGGCGGAAGCGACATCATTGGGTACATTGTGGAGAAGTGTCCCACAACCGCCGACAGGTGGATCCGTGCTGGACAGACCACCGACTGCGGCATCAACATCATTAACATATTCGGAAAGACCAAGTACCAGTTCAGAGTCATCGCCGAGAACCAGTTTGGCCTGAGTGCTCCTTGCCAGCCAACAGAGCCCATCACCACAAAGGAAGACAAGTCAGTGACTAGGAACTATGATGAGGAGGTGGACGAGACCAGAGAGGTCACCAAGGAGGAGGCTCTGGTCTACAAGGTGAAGGAGCTGACCTCCAAGTACGTAATCTCTGAGGAACTCGCCCGCTGCCAGTTTGGAATTGTCCACCGCTGCACGGAGATCGCCACAAAGAAGACCTTCATGGCCAAGTTCATCAAGGTGAAGGGAACTGACCGTGAGTTGGTCCTCAGAGAAATTGAAGCTCTCAACGTAGCAAGGCACAAGAACGTCATCTACCTGCATGAATACTTTGAAAGCATGGAGGAGATCATCCTCATCTTTGAATTTATTTCTGGAGTTGACATCTTTGAGCGCCTTGGCACCAGCAACTTTGAGCTGACAGAGCAGGAGATCGTCCGCTACCTGAGACAGGTCTGCTCTGCCCTCAAGTTCATGCATAGCAACAACTATGCACACTTTGATATCCGCCCAGACAACATCATCTACACCACAAAGAGAAGCACCACCGTAAAGATTATTGATATGGGCCAGGCTAGGCTGCTGGTGCCTGGTGAAAACATCAGAGCGCTGTTCTCAGCTCCCGAGTACTGCGCCCCTGAGATCCACCGCCACGACCTGGTCACGACGGCCACTGATATGTGGTCTGTTGGTGTGATGGCCTACGTTTTGCTCAGTGGCCTGAATCCGTTCGCCGGAGAGTCCATTACAAAGATGATCGAGAACATCTCCAGCTGTGAGTACATCTTTGATAGCGAAGCATTCAAGGACATCAGCCTGGAGGCTATGGACTTTGTGGACAGACTTCTAGTCAAAGACAGGAAGCTCCGTATGACAGCCCACGAGGCTCTGGAACACCCATGGCTCAAGATGAAGATTGAGAATGTCAGCAACAAGGTCATCAGGACATTGAAACACAGAAGGTACTATCAGTCTCTGGTTAAGAGGACAGATACCATTGTATCATCAGCCCGTGTGGCCTATGGTGGCGCTTTCAAGAACCAGAGAGGATATGCTGTTGGTAAAGTGAAGATCGGAACCGAGTACCACGGCCTCCGCACGGGACCCGTCATGCACGGCTCCGCTGAGGAAGGTGGCCATATCAGATTCACTTGTACCATCGTCAACTACGACAAGAGCACTCAGGTGTCATGGTTCTTTGGAAACCGCCAGCTCCATGCAAGCAACAAGTACGAAATCACTTACAGCAACGGATTTGCCAGCATCTATGTGAAGGACATTGAAGAGAGTGATAACGGAGTGTACAGGTGCAAGGTTGTGAGCGACGATGGAGAGGACAGTTCTTACGGAGAGCTGTTTGTTGAAACAGTGAGGAGCATCAGAGAGCACTACATCAGCCGCTCCATAAAGAAACTGAGGAAGAGAGTCGACCAGGCTAAACTCCTGCAGAGACCGCCAGAGTTCACTTTACCTCTCTACAATCGCTCTGCCTACATTGGCGAGGATGTGCGTTTTGGTGTCACCATCACCGTGCACCCTGAGCCTCATGTGGCATGGCTTAAGAACGGAGAAAGAATTAAACCAGGCGAGGATGACAGGAAGTACACGTTCACCAATGATAAGGGTCTGTACCAGCTGATGATCCACAATGTGGATGCAAGTGATGATGCCGAATACACCGTCATGGCCCACAACAAGTTTGGAGAAGACAGCTGCGTAGCCCGTCTCACTGTGACACCTCATCCAGTGATGGAGGAAACAATGAGGCCCATGTTCAAACGCCTGCTGGCTAATGTGGACTGTGTGGAAGGGAACAGCGTCCGCTTTGAGCTTAGAGTCTCAGGAATCCCATCTCCTACTCTGAAGTGGAAGAAGGACGGTCATGCAATGGAGTTCGGCCCCAAGGTCGTTGTCATAGAGGAGGACGTTGACTACCATGTCCTGCACATCAGAAACACTCTGCTCGAGGACTCTGGTGTGTACCATGTTACTGCAACCAACTGTGCTGGATCTATAAGCTGCCAGGCCTCACTGAAGGTGGACCGCCTTACCTATACCAGGAGGGAGTACAAGAGCGAGGAGGAGAAATACATGCACGTGCAGAAACAAATCGAAAAGACCAACAAAATGGCTCTGAAAATTGTTGCCACTGAGGAGATGGAAGCTCTGAACTCCACGGCCCAGGACGCACTCAAGTTTGCTGCAGAGATGTATAAGCCTGCGGTGGGCACCAAGAACGTGGAGGGAGAGTTTGACATCACTGTGCAGAAGTCGGAGACTAAGAAGCTGGAAGAGGAGAGGAGGATTTTCATGCCCTATGAGATCCCAGAGCCTCAGGTCCATGATCCCAAAGCTCTGGACGAGGACAAAACGATCAAACAGTTTGTGCCTCTTTCTGACATGAAGTGGTACAGGAAGCTGAGAGACCAGTATGTTGTTCCAGAGAGGATGGAGAAGATTGTGCAGAAGAGGCAGAGACGTATCCGCCTTTCCAGGTGGGAACAGTTCTATGTCGTGCCCCTCCCCAGAATCACTGACCAGTACAGACCAAGATGGCGAATTCCAAAACTCAGTCTGGATGACCTGGAGACTGTCAGACCCGGCCGCCGTTCACCTTCTCCTGAATCCGAGGCTTCCTTCAGATCCAGAAGGAGATCTCTGGGAGACCTCAGTGACGAAGAGCTGCTGATGCCCGTGGACGACTACCTCTCCATGAGGAGAACCGAGGAGGAGAAGACAATGCTGGAGGACGAACTGGAGCTCGGCTTTTCTGCCTCTCCTTCCGGCAGCCCAGTACGCATGGAGGTGCGTGAAGAGAGAAGACATGTGGTCCGACACGAGGCTGTGGAAGTCACACAGACCAAGAAGAAACGCACTGTTTCTCAGTTCATGAGGAGGAGGAGATCTCTGTCTCCCACATACATCGAGCTCATGCGTCCAGTCTCAGAGCTGATCAGACCATCTCGTGCTAGGACTGTGGAAGTACAGGGAGAGGTTGTGACGAGGAGATCCCCCACCCCGGAGAGGACACGCCCCCGATCTCCCAGCCCAATCAGGTCCGCCGAGAGGTCGTCCCGCTCTTCCTCCAGGTTTGAACGGACCGCCCGCTTTGACATCATGTCCCGCTACGAGGCCAGAAAGGCTTCCCTGAAGTCCGAGAGGAAATACCAGGTAGTTAGCCAGACACCCTTCAGCCTGGACCATGCTCCCCGTGTGACCGTAAGGATGCGCTCTCATCGCATACCCATCGGCCAAGACACCAAGTTCACCCTGAACATCCAGTCCAAGCCTGACGCTGAGGTCAAGTGGTTGCACAACGGAAATGAAATCTTTGAAAGCAGCAACAAATATGTCTTCACCAACATGAGTGGAGTTCTGTCCATTGCTATTCTGGACTGCCAAGCGGAAGACAGTGGATCATACCGCTGCGTATGCTCCAACTCCAAGGGAGATGCTTCCGACTACGCCACCCTGGATGTGTCCGGAGGTGGCTACACCACCTTCTGCTCCCGCCGCAGGGATGAGGAAGTCATAAAGGGATTTTTCCCCGAAGTCACCAAGGTCGACCACTATCACACCACTCACTTCAAAGCTGGCTATTCTGCCGAGAGCCACTTACAGGTGGAAGAAAGCAAGTCTAAGCTAACGGAGAAACATGAGGTTACCACACGGGAGAGATACGCCGCCTCCTCTGAGAGGTACTCCTCCGCTGAGAGGTACGATTCATCCATCAAGTTCGCAGCTGCTGAATACCTGTCATCTGATTCCTCCTACTCGTCAGAGAGGTTCTCCTTGTCTGCGAAACGCACCACATCTGAAGCTAAAGTGAAGTCAACCTCTGTCGGGGAAAGTGTCATTCACAAAGTGGCGCCTTCTCTTCCCGCCAGGATGCTCACCAAGCCCCAGTCTGTGACCGTTTCAGAGGGAGAGTCTGCCAAATTCACCTGTGATATCGACGGAGAGCCTGCACCAACTGTAACGTGGATGCACGAGAGCCGGACCATCATCTCATCTCACCACGTCCAGGTCACCACCACTCAGTACAAGTCCAGCTTCGAGATCTCCTCTGTGACCATCTCCGATGAGGGCAGTTACACGGTTGTGGTCGAGAACTCGGCCGGCAGGCAGGAGGCTCACTTCATCCTGACCATCCGCAGACCAGCACCCATAGAGGAAGTCTCTGCAGTCAAATCCCCCACTCCCAGTGTCAAGTCACCAGAGCCTTCAGTCACATCACCGGCACCCTCTGCAACCTCCCCCGTGCCCAGCATCAAGTCCCCTTCAATTAAATCACCGACGCCGAGTGTGAAGTCTCCCGAACCAAGTGTAACGTCTCCCACTCCGAGTGTGAAGTCACCAACGCCGAGTGTGAAGTCACCAACGCCGAGTGTGAAGTCACCCGAACCAAGTGTAACCTCACCTGTCCCGAGTGTGAAATCCCCGACGCCGAGTGTGAAGTCTCCCGAACCAAGTGTAACGTCTCCCACTCCGAGTGTGAAGTCACCAACGCCGAGCATGAAGTCACCTGAACCAAGTGTAACGTCTCCCACTCCGAGCGTGAAGTCACCAACGCCGAGCATGAAGTCACCTGAACCAAGTGTAACGTCTCCTACTCCAAGTGTGAAGTCCCCCACACCAGGGGTCAAATCGCCCGAACCTGAGGGGGTTAGGTCACCACGGGGTGTAAAATCTCCTGAACCCAGAGTTAAGTCACCAACACAAGTCAAGATGCCGGAGAGAGTAAAGTCACCTGAACCAGAGGGAGTAAAATCCCCAATTGGTGTCAAATCTCCAGAACCTGCAGGAATAAGAACACCTCGAGGTATCAAATCTCCAGAACCTGCCGGAGTTAAATCACCTTTTGGTGTGAAGTCTCCAGAACCTGCCGGAGTTAAATCACCTTTTGGTGTGAAGTCTCCAGAACCTGCCGGAGTTAAATCACCTTTTGGTGTGAAGTCTCCAGAACCTGCCGGAGTTAAATCACCTTTTGGTGTGAAGTCTCCAGAACCTGCCGGAGTTAAATCACCTTTTGGTGTGAAGTCTCCAGAACCTGCCGGAGTTAAATCACCTTTTGGTGTGAAGTCTCCAGAACCTGCAGGAATTAAATCACCTTTTGGAGCCAAATCTCCAGAACCAGCAGGAATTAAATCACCAAGAGGCCTCAAGTCCCCAGAACCTTCAGGCATCAAATCACCAAGAGCCTTGAAGTCCCCAGAACCCGTGGGCATCAAATCCCCTCCTCGGGTGAAGTCCCCCCCTCCAATTATGTCGCCCAAGAGAGTTGCGTCCCCTCCCACGGTCAAATCCCCGGTCCCGAAACCTCCTAAAGTCGTGAGTCAAGTGATGGCCGAGGCCAGCGAGGGCTCAGTCCGGATGTCCTGCGTCTGCGAGAGCAGCGTCCGGGAGGCGGTGTGGTCCGTCAACGGGAGGAGGCTTTCCCAGAGCAGCCACTTCGAGATGCACTACTCCGAGGGCTCCTGCAGCCTGCTGATCCACGACCTGGCCGACAGCGACCAGGGAGAGTACACCTGCGAGATGACGTCCGAGGGAGGGGTATCCAAATCGTCATTCTCCTTCACCGGACAGGTGTTCCAGTCCATTCGCATGAAGGTTACGGCCTACCACGAGCAGCAAGTGGCACTTAGAGGTGAGCACCAGCCTCGAGTATCCAAGCACATTTAGTCCAATGTCATGCTAATTAAAGACAATCATGAAATAGGAATACCTCATCCCTGAAGTGTACCATTTGTAGGTCAATACTAACTCTCACATGTCTCCATAGTGAATGGAAAACCCAGAAAATCTAGAAATGTCTTGAATGAAAGTGCTTTAAGAACAGCATAACTATAGGGATACAAACCCTCACACACATTTAGTCATGTATCCGTAGTATCCTCATTACTTTGCAAGTCATGACTTTTACCTAAAAACTATGCAAACGCAATCCTAATTTTCTTCCAATTTACTACATTTTCTGATTCCTCATTCACCAACGAGGTAACACAGGAAGACTAGTGTCCTTTAGGGTACTCCTCTTTACTTCTTAGTCATTCTAAAGACATATGAACCATTTCCGTGTCTCCCCCGATCAGGATCGATGGAGATGAGTCTTAAGGAGTCTTCACTGTCCTCCGTGAGCTCGTCCATGAGCTCGTCCATGATGATGAAGAAAGAGATGCACGCGATGCAGGAGTCTTCCTCCTTCTCCTCTTCCTCCGCCCAGCAGGCCATGATGTCGTCCATGATGGAGTCCAGCTCCATGAGCAGCATGGCCGCTGAGATGAAGTTCGAGTCCATGTCCATGTCCAGTATGTCCTCTTTGACGTCCGAGACGTACGCCATGAGCTCCAGCAGCAGCATGACGGAGGGTTCAGCGTTCAGAGCGATCGGTAAGAGATTCAAGGCTTTAATTGTCATGTGTACATAGCTGCAGTGTAGATATGTGCACATCTTAGGTCACAGCGGTCCAACGGTGCAACATAATAAAACAGACAAAATAGTTCAAATAGTGCAAAGTAATACAAATAAAATAGAAATAGTGCAAAGAGAGTCTGGAACAACTCTGTTTGATCTTTGGGGGCATGTTAAGTTGCTGTCTCCTCTAATATTGAATCTGAGCTAATGTTCATGTTCTGTATGTTCCAGGTTCTGCCCCCAGGATCGAGGCTCTGCCGGAGGACATCAGCATCGAGCCGGGCAAAGTCCTGACGGTCACCTGCGCCTTCTCCGGAGACGCCAAACTCATCCAGTGGTCTCGCGGCGGGAAGAACATCGAGGTGACCGCCGGCGGACGCTTCCACATCGACACCACGGAGGACCTGACCACGCTCATCATCACCGGCGTGAAGGAGGAGGACGCCGGGACGTACACCCTGAAACTGTCCAACGAGCTGGGCTCCGACTCAGCTACTGTCCACATCAGCATCCGATCAGTGTAAAAAAAAGAAAAATCTCAAGCCCCATCGCCCCCTTCCCTTCTTCCGTGCCTTTTTATTTATTAATTAAGAAATAATCTACTTAATAACGATCTGGATTTCTGTTCTTGTAAATATGAACTATTTTTGTACCAATCTTGACATTAATTTATGCCAAACTAGACTACAGTCTAACGTTGATAAAATGTGCCATATTGGATAACTATGACTTAGGATACTTAATCTGTGACATGTACATAATGTATATAGCCGAATTGAACGGTTATGGGAAATGTATGCATTGTTATTTATGACAATAATAGTAACTGAAACAAAAGAAACTGAATGTGGTCTAACTGGAGAAAGTTCTACTAGGAACGAATACCCTGTTAGGCTAAGAAACTAAACTCTGTGCCTCAACCAAGCGTTGAAGTCTAAAGATTGCCTCAACAGGTAGAGAGGCTCCCTGTTGACGTTACTGAGACAGATATATAATATATAAGAATGCACTGCGCTGCATAGAAACTGAGGCGAGACCCTGAGTGCTGTTTGCATATACCCTCATGTAAGCAGCCCGACTGGGCCTCGCGCTCTGACGGATTATGTCATACCGCCATTTCGATGACATGCTCACAGTGCGGGCGGCTGCACTCCCTGAGCGACTGTTTCTTTTTGTTTTGTGCTCCGGCTCTGCAGGCGACCCCGGCCCGGCTCTCAGTAACACCGCATCACGAGAGCAGAGCCCGGCCGGCGCTGGTCTGCAGAGGCGGAGCTGTCTCTCGGAGCGCTGCAGTGTGTGTGTGTTAGATATTAGCAGTCAGTCAGCGGGCGAGGGGGAGGAGTCCCGCTCTTTGTTAGACTGAAGGTAGAGACGTAGGTTTTGCAGCCTCCTTGAGTTTTTCTCCAGTTATTGATTTAATAAAGCATGACTATCAGCACTAACCGTGTCTCCTGAGTCTCCTTTCTTCTGGTTTCACTGGGAATATCACATTTATATTACACTTCATATTCAGGGTCACATGTCCAGGTTTCATTTATCGAGCTCACCATTTTTAGTTCAAACATTATTTCAAAGTTGTAGTTTATTTAGTATGTTAAAATAGTTCATAAAGTCACAGTGTCTCATGGGAATAAAATGTACTTCCTAATAAAAATCATTAAAAGCCAAAGTTAAAAGTTAGTAAATAAGTAAAACCTATTAGATCAATAGTGAAGTGTGTCATCCTGCTATTGTTTAACCTCTAAGTAATTACATTCAATATATTTTAGAGTTGAAATGAATTATACAGATTATAATTCATTTCAATACATACATTTAAAAAATACGAGTTTTTAAATAAAATCAAATAGATTTAAATGCTTAAAAATAAACTCTACCATGATTCATTTCTGTGTGTTATATCAGAAAGTCATAGTACTTCATAAAGTATATTAAGTTGAGAATACCATGAGAAGTTGATACCCTGTTCAGTACGTCATAAAAGAAGACAGTCAAGTATGTCAGTAACAACAACATGATATAATAATGAACATTCCAGTCAGGCCAAACTATGCAAACAAAACAGCTGGCGGCACAACTTGATCCACTTAAAGATAAATGTTCGTAATATCATTTAAAATATCCACAAACCTGATATAGTAGAGTTTGTCGACACTACAGAAAAGTATGACACAGGATAGTGTGTCGTATGAGAAAGAAAACACGGTGGAACAATTCAAAAGAAAACATGTAATATTAAAATGGTATGTTAAAAAGTAAAGCTTTAGTGATGTGAACATGCAGTGTGTCCTGATGGCCTCACGGTGGCAGTGTTGGCCTGGTGGGAAACGGCTGCCTCACACACACACACACACACACACACACACACACACACACACACACACACACACACACACACACACACACACACACACACACACACACACACAC